TCTGTTGCTTCAAGCTCTGTAAGAAACTTCTGGCACTTAGACATGAGGACATTAATGGCCTCAGTAACCAGGACATCGGGAGGGAGGATCCCTGTGGACTCAACTGAAACTGAAGAGAAAACAGAGGCAACATGCGATTATACCATTGGTAAGTCAACACCAAATAAACACTATAGCTAATGCAATGCTTTTGGTTGCAAACGTACATATAAAATGATCCCGCACTCTTCCCAGTTTCACCAAGCTCTTCAAGTCATCATGGCGGAGAACTTCTCTGCTGCATGTGTCCAAACGGCTATTGACAACCTTTGCCACCTTCCTTCCTGAAATTGACAATTACCGTGTCATAACTTATAATACAACAACTAAAAGTAACAAATATCATGATTATGTGGGGAAGGAAGCTGTTCAAAATGGCTGATTACTTTAGAAACCAAACATGTGGCTGTCTTCATCAATGCATCATGAAATCATTGGCTCACTTTTTTTCGTATTCATATGTGCAAAATTTGTCACGTAAATAAACCTTGCACACCGAGTCCGATGCATATAAATTAATCCACTCCAAAAAAATGCAAAACATTTTAGAGTCAGTTCAAGCAATGATACTTTGTTCTCCTCTCTTCTCCAAAGTAAAAAAAGATAGAGACTACATATTGTGTTCATCCAATACTGCATAGAGAGGAAGGAGTGTTCAGCTCATTACTGAATCTAGTGACAGGTTCTTTATTTATACATTGTGTTTGTCAAAGTTATCTGTAGCTCAAATTATGGTATTCTGTATTTTGCTGTTCACCTGTACGGTGGCTCTGAACTGTCAATACACTTCTCAAAGCACTTATTCAGATGCGAAAATCGAAAAAAATAAATATATAAATAAAATCTGGTTCGATTTTTTTTAACATTTTTTTATATGAATTAACCCGGTAAGATTTTTTTAATGAAGGACGAAAGTTTCAGAGGCAGTGTGTCAATACAGTTCACATAACATGAGGTTGAATTTATTTTTTTAAGTTATGGTCGAAACTTTGGTGTGCAATAATCTTAACAAATTTTTATTTTTGAATAATTTTTTTTTAATTCCTTTTTCCTGGTCTGTGATATATGGTATATTTCTGAGTGTTATATCGCTGATCCGCAAAAAAAAATACGATTCTGAGATATTATTTTAGAAACTCCCATTGAAACTGAGAAAACAGCACTGTTGGTTCTTTGATATGACTTAACTATATTTTTAACATATTCAGGTGTATTTATGCTTTCAATGCTTGAATTATGGCTGCACAGTATATCACTTCAACATGGATATTTCAATGTGCACGTGCAATAGTCATATCGCAGGATGTGCAATGTTGAGTTGAGTTGAGGACTATAATTGACCAGCACAACAGATCAAAACACATGAGATTTGTGAGAAAACAAAACTGCAAAACAAAATATTGCAATGTCAGAATTTTTTTCAAGATGTCTTTTTTGGAAAGTCGCTTGAATATATTTTTGTGGTAAATCTCAAACTGCCCATAAATAAGAAAAATAACTATACTTTGGTCTTATCCCTACCGTTCACATTCTCAAGCTCAATAACTCCAGGTGAGAAGCAGCGCTTTAACCTCTCTGCTTGTTCTCCCTCAATGGTCTGCAATAATGTGATTTCAGGAAGGAGCCTGTAGCTTGCTGTGGCCACAGGAGAAAACTTGGCATGATCCTTACCTGTGAGGGGAAAAGAGGCTCTGCAGTTAATCTCACAATTCCAAAATAAACAGGAAACTTTGGACTACATGTTGAAGTTATATAGTAGCCAGCCTTTATTAAAGAAATATAGATGAAATATGCCTCTCTGGAAATCAAATGTCTGCTTGGTCAGTAGCCTCTTTTATTACTTACCTATTCCTTTGACACAGTGCATGACTATATCAAGTTCCTGCCCTGGTCGGACTTGTGCCAGAAGAATGTCCCCATGCACAGGGCCGATCTTGGCATCTGCAAACACATCGGCCTGGTTTCCAATTGGGAGCCATTTTATGTCACCTGAGTAGACTGAAACCAAACTCGAGAATTCAGTGATATACTGTAAACATTGCAGATCATATCTATTTAAATGGCATCTTTATTGGCTATTCTGCTTGGCTTCTGTTGTGTTGCGTGGTTAATCTTAATAAAGAGATTACAGAATTTTTCTGATCACAAAGGCTGTGAATTAAATGCATAAATATGTTCTGCATGTTTCAGATTTTAGCATTTTATGCATTCAAATTCAAATAAATAAATGGTTTAGGACAGAATAAAAGATTTTACTTTTTATTTTTACATATTTACAATTCAAATTTTACAGTTGTGCAGAAAAATAAAAGGTTTAGTACAATATTAATAATTTATTTTGCAATATTGCAACTAATGTTGTACTGTTTATTAGTTTTATTTAGCAATTCTTGAAAAAATATATAAATAATGATTGCCTTATAGTCATAAATAGATAAACGTTTGGTCAAATTGGGCAGCGTTACAAACTATATGCAGGAAAACGGGAGTTTTTTTAAATAGTGTTTTTAATAACAATCTTATTCTATCAAATATAATTTTTTGACGGCTGAGCAATGAACGTCAGTGACAAAGGATACAATGTATAAGATTTTAAGTATGATCGAAATACCGGAAGTGGGTTTAAAAATCATATCAACGTTATTGAAAAATAATCTTTCGCGATATATTGATATTGAATTATTGTCCAGACCTAGTTTTATAAGACATAGCAGTAAAATAATTCCCCCAAGCACCAGAGAGAAAGTGGATAATTGGTTATGGAAAAACAAATTAAAACAAAAGCATAAATCTCAAGGATAAAATTTAAATCTCAGATTTTGTCAATCTAAAAAAGGCTTAATTTAAAAAAAAGTAAACTTTTTTTTTTACTCATGTGATTGAGATATAACTCCTTTGGATCTGAGGAGTCTTTAGGGGCTCTGGGATTCCTGGTGCATTTAACCTTCAACTGTAGTTGAATTGTGTCAATTTCTGTGCCTTCCTGATCCTCTGAAAAACACAACACATACAAATCTCTTTTAAAGTATTATATTATCATATTTTTATATTTTTATATTATATTGACAGTGCTGGCATGTGTGTCATCATTATAAAACCTTCTTAAATGTTAAAGCAAACATCAAAACATGCTTCCAGAACTTACCTGAATTCCTGTACTCGAAAAGACGAGGGTCTGCTTTAATGGGAACAAGACCAAGCCTGTGTGCTAAAATCTCATCCTGAATGATTGATGTGTTATTGTAAATAAAGACTTTTTCAATGGCCATTGTTGGAACCTAAGTTGCCAAAAAAGAGGGAAAATAAACACTAGAGTTAAAAATTAATTAGGAAGAGCATGATGAATGTCATGTATTGCACAACAGCAGCTCATCTTGATGGTAATAAATAAAGCAGACATGGTAAGAACATATCCTCAACAACAAACCTCAGCCAGTAATATACGGCGAAAAGCATTGGCGATGGCAGCATCTATGCCAATCATATCAAACTCCAGTGTGTTTTCATCTGAACTAATTATTTCAATCCTGAAATTCTGAAAGAGTTCAAAAGACATGACATCACATCATGTTTAGAACATTTAAAAACATAAAAAAAATAATTAAACATTAAAATTAGCTAGAATTAAGACACAGCGTAGACTTTTCACACACCTTTTTGAATTTTTCAAAGTCCCAAGTGTCATCATAACCGGGGTAATTTCCTGGATAATCTGTAGTATGGACCTGTAAATATTAGATACAGTTAATATTAGGTACATGTGTAGCTTATCAGAATACACTTTAATACCCAATACATGAGAACACATAAAAACATTTACCCTTTACATAAATGAACCATGCTTTTACAACAAATTTTAAATTTAGTTTTTAAAGTATGGCAACCAATTATTTACAATTCTTTCGCCATACTAACCTTGTTAAACCATGGAAATGCCATCAAAACTAATTGTAAATACTTTATAAACGCTTTATGCGACAAAAGCAATAGTTACTATACTTATTACAATAAAAAACATGATTTGTTTTTGTAAGAGACAGTACGAAAAAACCTTTATGACATGTGCATCTAATACATATTAAGGGAACAATTTCATTTGTGAAACAGACTTTATCGACATAAACACGACGTAGAAACTGTGTAAATATCCCGCAAGTGGGTACAACTTACATTTTTCACACCGAATTCGCCCAATATTACTCTATCACGAATTTCATCCACGTTGCTCATAGGCGCCGCCATCTTTGCTGTCATGCTTCTCTTTCGCCGATAGAGGGTACAAAACATGCATACAAAAAGAAAATCAAAATGAAACTTCAGTAATGTCAGTGTTATAAATGCTATATTTAAAAAGATAAACATATATGTATACTCTGCAAGTGTACATACAAACAATTATAATATAGGCCACTATAAAATATATAGATGTTAAGGTTTTACTTTTAAGGTAAAATCCATAGATTTAAGGTTTTACTTGGGGGCGTTGTTTAAAACATTCAATATAAAGATATTCAATCCGCAGAAGGTATCTACATATTATGCGAATTAAATAAATAAAGTGGAGATTGTGGGATTTTTTTTTTTTTGCTGTTTTTTTTTCTGCGGATAAAAGCATTATTATTACTTGTTATAATATTGTGTGTTGATACAGTTCATACAAATGCAGATTTAGGTAAAACCTATTAAATGAGCAAGTTTGTACATAAAAACAATGAAATAAAAATATACAAAAAATAATAAACCAATAATCATGAAATTAAAGGAAAAATGGTTAAAGTCGCGGATCTCCTGAATTTCGCAAAACATTTATGATTAGATTAGTGATCCATAGAGTGAAGTATATATATTTAAAGTAATTTGGTATCTAAAAAAACATTTTTGTTTTCCCAAGTGTTCTTTTCTTTTGGGGACTTTTATTTTATCCTCATTATACTGCGTCATCATCTGAGTATTGCGCGCACACCGTGAAGGTGCACAAGTGGATTGAAGTGTTTATTTCAAAACTTATCCCTGGAATAACTTTTCGCAATACGTGTTGAATGAAGTCGCCCAGCCGCTTCAGACAGACCGGGACGGCATCTGTAGTTGTTCTCCAGCAGTTGTTTTAGGGTTCACTTTCCGTTCTCTATGGACGAAACTGTGGACAGAGCGGTTGAGGAGCGGGAGGGATCCACGCGTTGGTCTGTTCGGTCTGGCGCTTACCTCAGCGGAGAGGACGAGACCCGCGACACTCACGGGGCTCCCAAACAACAAGCTGACGACGAGGTATAAATCAGCGAATGAGTGGAGGTTTTACTTCAAAAATGTTTTTGAAAGCTGTTACTTATCGTAAAAAAGCTTATTAAAAAACATAAGGTTAATGGTCTTTTCATTTACAAAAACCGTGTCATAACAATACGTAACGTATGCAAATATTTGTACTCGTATAACGTTTCGTGTGTATTTGTACTTCGACTTAATACTAAGTTATTGTTTTGCAAAGCTTTGGAGAATAACGTATAAACTATAATTCTCATGCGAAATATAAATTTTACATTGTGTATATGTGGGTGTATGTATACAGTTGTAGTCAGAATTATTTGCCTCCTGGTAAATTTAAATTCTTTTAACATTTTTCCCACATAATGTACATACATATAATTAAAAATATTTAATGTACATAATATTTTAGTAGGTATATTGCAAGACACCAGAGTTTAGGTTAAAGTCCAATTTAAAGACTTTTCTCATTAGGTTAATTGGGCAAGTTATTGTATTGAGTATATATATATGAGAAATATCTGGAAAAAAAATAAAATTTCACAGGAGGGCTAATAATTTTGCCCTCAACTGTATACATATAGTTCAAAGATGCCTTAAATCCTATGCGTATTAAACTTTTTTGTCTTAGGAAGAACCTTTTTTGATCCACTTCACTATGGTGTGTGTGTGTGTGTGTGTGTGTTCTCATTTTTTTCTAACTTGTTTTATATGTTGTTTTAAGCCCTCCCTGCCACTTAGGGATTTCTATCCATATATTCGCTGTGCCCTTTGCAATGGATTTTTCATTGATGCCACCACCATTACAGAGTGTCTTCACACTTGTAAGTCTACAATCTCACATTGTATATATATATATATATATATATATATATATATATATATATATATATATATATATATATATTTTATTTTTTTCTATTTGTGTAACCTGTGATTTGAACTATTCCTCTTCTCAGTTTGTAAGAGCTGCATTGTCAAGCACTTTTTCTACAGCAACAGGTGTCCGAACTGCTCTATTGTTGTACATCAGACACAACCACTCTACTGTATCAGGTAACTTTAAATTGGTTTGTCATTTTGTTTTATCATTTTCTTGTTTAACCTTGCAGACTGAATTTTTGTAGTTGTTTACTAGTTTTAGTTCATCACTTGAGATTTTGTCTGGCTGTAATGTCCCTTGTGTCTAATTACTGCTAGCTGGCAGTAATAGCCTGGTCCTTCGGGATTCTTGTGTGCTTTAGTGTTTAATTACTGGTCATGTTTTAACATGGGAGTCAAATTTCATCCTTTTTTTTCTAGACCTGACAGACAATTACAAGACATTGTTTTCAAGATGGTTCCATATTTGGAAGAAGGTTCGTGTTTTTAACATTTTACGTTACATTTTTTGTCTCAGTTTGTCATGTGAGGTAATATGTAGAAAAACATTTGACAGAAATGATGTTGGTTGTTTTTTCTCTCGCAGATGAAAGGTCACGAATATGTGCATTTTATAGACTGAGAGGGCTTGAAGTTCCTAAACCAGGTTTGTTCATGCAATCTGACTTTATTTTTTAAATATATGTATAATAGAAATGTTTCTAGAATTGAATTTGCTTATGATGCAATGATTTTTCTCTTAATTTTCCCCAGTGGCATCACCGGCTGCATACCCAGTGAAACTGCCTCAGAGACAGAAGAAAGACCTGGTGCCTCAGTCTGTTTTTACTATTCCCTCAGAGCTGGATGTGTCTCTGATGTTGGAGTTTGTGGGGTTAGTTATGTTGACTGTAGTTAAGCACATGCGTCAAAGAAATTTTGGATTCTGCATCAAATTAAACGTACAATATTGATATTATATATACATAAAAAAAGCATATACAAGGCATTTAAAATGTGTATACTATATATGCATATATAATGTCTAATGCTTGAAAAATAACATTTTTTTCTTTAACCCTAATATAATTAAATTCCAGTTATTTTTAGACTGTTGAGGTGATGCAAGGAATTGCGTTTTGATTAAATTCATGTTTTTAGTTTTTTTTTTTTAAGTTAATATCACTGATTATTAACTATTCATTAGATAAATCAAGCACAATCGTTTTTATTTCATGCTGAATTAAATCTTTCTGAATGCTTTACGTGTTATGTTCACTAGATGGAGCTAAATTGTCAAAAACCAAAAGACTCAAAGCTGTGATTCTCAAACTGTGTGACTCTTAGCCACCTCACTGTCCAACACAATGTTCAGCTAAGATTTTCCATTGGTACTTCAGCTGTAATTATAAATACACTTTGTGTTTTTTTATGTAAAAATATGAGTTTAAAAATGCTTGAGTGATTAGTTTTGTGATCACAACAAATTATAATCCTTTTTTTAAAACAAGCTTTTTATTGGGAAATGATTGTTCCTTGTTTTATGTATAAATTAGCATTTCAGTAATCATATTTTTTTATTTTTATGATAATCTCCCAGTTTGAGAACCACTGGCCATTTTCTCTTTGTTAATTTTTATTCTCATCTAACATCTTTTTTTAATTTTGTACATATGTTTGATTTACAGAGCTGAGAAGGGTGTAGAGAACTATAAGGTAATATTCATGTTGCTGTATTTGTGTTTATGAACAACTGAATAATTATGTAGAGTTGAGCTGAAATTGTTGTGTAGGCCTTACTGAATTCCCATCTTTTAATACCCTGATTATATTTTCACCCTCAAGCCACTTGAGAGGAAGTATGTGCGTGTGTCTGGGGAAGCTACTGTCCGTCACGTGGAGCTTTTTATCAGAAGGAAGATGGAGCTGAGTCAAAATTGCAAGGTAATAGGAATAATGTGTGTTTTTTTTCTCTTGAACTCTAATCTGACCCAATGATTTCGAACTCAGCGTTTATTTTTAATTGTCAATCTCTTTTCTGTATCATTATGGTTAAGGTTTCAGTCATAAAAAACTTGCTTTCATTAAACCAGACACATAAATCCTGCCTCAGACGGTCAGCAAAGTCAGTGGTTTATAAAGATATTTATGGTGAAACCCCCCTGGCTGTTTCAGTCACTCAATAATTCATACTGACAGTGCTGGATATATGAATCAGGCAGCAAAGATATGCTGAGTCATTTGATGCAAAACATTCTCTTCTGACTCCTTATCTGACTAAATCATTTGTCGTCTTTAGGGTTTCCACTATAGGGTAATTTTGTGAATGTGTGATTAAAGAAATGACGTTATTAGGATGTTCCTTTTCCCTCTCATCACTTCAGTGACTCTCTGTCACACTTCAAAATCCTGACACATTGCCATTTAATTAGTTTCCCTCTAATCCCAAGTCTGGTTAAGGATTTGAGACCATGAAAAAAAGCACAGCTCAGTCAAGCATAGAAATGAGTGTCTGCAGCTGTGATTAACAGTGATCGTGTTTGAAAAGAAAATCTAGTGCTGTCTCTTTTTTTTAACATTGACATTATTTAGTTGTAGCTTCTCAGAGTGTCATGGCCATCTGCAGTTTGTGAGCTGTATTTTTAACTGGCGAGACTCAAGTTTGTATCATTATTTTTTGAATCTTAGATTGGATTGGATAAGTGCAAAAATAATCTTTGAATTTATTATATATACGGCCTAACTAGGGCTGCACAATTAATCGAAAAAATCACGATTTCGATTCGACCATCCACATGATCTTAATTCAGCATGTCTATGATTCAGCCAATTATATTTTCAAGATTATCAGAGAAGCATGAAGGTGGTTGCACAAGTGTTGTTTTAAATACCTTGGTCAGCAAAATAGACACCTCCAAATAGCGTTAAAAGAGTCACCTACCGTAATAAGTAATATTTTACCCAAAAAATGTCATTTCTGTCTTCATGTATTGACATATTTGCGGCCGCAAAATTACACATGAGCTGACAGTGAGCTGTTTTTACCACAGTAAGGACTTGAGAATGATGTGAACCTGCCTAATGTTATTGTTGTTTTACCATATGTTTGATAAATAATAATAATAATAATAGCCTACTCATGTTAACCTTTATTTTTACATTTACAGAATCGTGAGAAAATTGTGATCTTTCTTTTATGTAAATAAAAATCTTGATTCTCATTTTAGCCAGAATCGTGCAGCCCTAGGTCTAACTAATGTAAATGTTAAACATTAAGTAAACGGCCAACAATATAATATGAACTAAAATACAATTTAGCAGCACTAAATAACATTGAACATGAATGCAAAAGAATTAGGGAAGAAAAAGTTTTGGTTTTTCACAAATGCTGATTTATCCTTATTGTTATGCAGTCAAGAGCAGTGAGGCATTTGTCATCTCTTCAATTAAAGTTTATCACTCTTAAAATCCAAATGAGGTGACATGGTGGCTTAGTGGATAGCACTGTCACCTTACAGCAAGAAGGTCCCCGGTTCAAGTCCCGGGTGGGTCAGTTGGCATTTCTGTGTGGAGTTTGTATGTTCTCCCTAGCAGTCTCAGATTTTTGAGGCAATTTTTTTTCAAATGAACTTAATGTGTTAAACAGAAGTTGTAAAATTGAATATGTAAGATCATATCAAATTCTTTATAAACAACTTCTTTGCTGTGGTACTAACATCACAATATGTAACATCACAATATACAAGCTTCCAATTTTTGTGTTTTGACAAGTGTTTTTTGTTTTATTTATTGGTAGCAAAAGCAATCTATGTTAATTGCAGTACTCCTGTAAGTGGACACATGCAGCAGTTGTTAGTGAAAGCTGCTTGCATGTTATGAGGCTAACAGTCATATGTGGATTACTGGCTTAAGGTTTTTTCCTGGCGTCCAGGCACTCAGTGTTGATTAGCTAATACTGATTTGGCCCGGCGAGGAACACCTCATAGTGCCAGGGAAGTCTGCAGGAATAGAGGTGAAAGACAAGACACTATGGTTGGCGTTCTTTTGCTCTTGGAGCTCCAGGAAAGCCGGCTGTGCCCTGCTCTACATACTAGACTCTAAAAATATGCACATTTTGGGAATAGACCGGGGGGATGTATTGTATGTGCATTAGGAGTGCATTTCCGTCTGACATTTTAGGGTCACTGTGAAAAAGCGGTCCTCTAAAACAATGTACTGGGATTTAAGCACAAACTTTTATTAGTAGTGTTTGCAAAAAGAAGCATTAAATATTTATTATTGCTTATATTAGTTTATATTTTTTTCATGATGTTTTTAATCCATACAGCATTATCTTAGTCAGAACCATGCTTCAAATTATGCAGTATATTTACTTTGAATCCATTTTAAAATATAGAATTGTGCTAGTCATGATAGTAGGGAATGTGCTTTAAATTATGCTATTTAACAAAGAAATGTTTGCTATGACTGTTGCAAAGTGATCAGACTTAAAATGACAAATGAAAACCGATTTTGAAAAAATAAACCATACTTGAATAATTCACATGAACATCTGTTTTGTTTTTCAGGTTGATGTTGTGTGTGGAGAGCATATTCTCGAACAATACCAGTCTTTGAGAGAAATTTATAACACCATGGGTAAAAAGGCATTGCAGGTAAGTGTCTGATGTAATATACCCGTTATTATACATCATACACTTTTGCATTGCAATGTTTTTGTCATTATAAATGCCTTTCAAGAAGCCTCCATGTGTCTTTGTGCTTATTCATTAGCAGTGTCGCTGAGGTGTTTTTATAGAGACAGTGTCACTGTCAGATGTAAGCTGTTAATAAGTGTGAACTCGGGTACCTTGCACAATTTGTGTCACCACTTTACGCAGAATTACATTAGAGCCTTACCTGCAGCCTCAAGTGAACCTTTAGAAATTATTCTAGTATATTTATTTGCTGATCAAGGCACATTTTTGTTGTTATAAACATTTGTGCCATTTATTTATTTTTTTTTTTTAATGTTCAAAATTTGTAATCTTTGGTAAAATGTTAAAATTAATGAATAGTCACTTGCACATTAACCAGACTAATGTGTTTTATATATTGCCGTATTTAAAAAAAAAAAAACTAACATTTATAGTTGTTTTTATGTTTAATACACATTTCTTATTCTCCCATTTAGGATGGCATGCTGGTTCTGCATTTTGGACTCGTTCTGCCTACTCAGTAAAGAGAGATTACAAAAGACAAACTACGGTGATAAATACAGTCCGCAGTGCTATTTTGAGGGCTAAAGTGACATTTATCATACCACAGTGAACCTATGCATTGAATTTTTGTCTTCCTGGTTGCCTTTTTTCAACAAATGCATTAAGAAACATCAGCACTGATGAATTATTTCAAGCAAATACTGTTTTTAACACTTTCCAAAGCTGTGAAGTTTCTGTAGATGCTATTTTAAATGTTTGCGCATGAACAACATTCATTATTTCATGCCTTATCTCAAAGAATGTTGTTTTTGCATATCAGTTAAGGGTAAAATGCATTGTGCCTTTAGATCCGCAGACAAATGGTTCGGTTAAAAAAAAAATTTCACTGAAATATCTGTACATTATTTGAATTTTTATATTCCTATATGATTTTATTCTGCGCAAGAACAAAGGTGTTCTCTAGTTTCATTGCCTTTCTCTCCTTGACTCTTCTAGGGAGGTTTAATTGTTTCTGTCTATTTTTCTTTGTTCATTTAAGATGAAAATGTTTGTACTACTTTATACTTGCCATATTGTGTTGTTTTCAGGGCCTTCAGTGGGAAAAAAAGTATTTTGAAATGTTTTTTTTAAACATCTTTACAAATAAATGTAAATCTGTGCATGGCCAATCAGATCACATTGCATAACAATACAATGCAAATATTCCAGTCATTTTCCATTTTTCCAGTCATATTTTGTTTTGTGTAATGTTCTTGTGGCTACACAGTGGCTCAGTGGTTAGCACTGTTGCTTACAGCAAGAAGGTCGCTGATTCGAGTCCTGGCTATGTCTGTTGACATTTCTTTGTGGAGATTGCATGTTCTCCCTGTGTTCGTGTGGATTTTCTCCAGGTGCTTCAGTTTCTCCCCAGAGTCTAAAGACATTCGCTAAAGGGGAATTGAATAAACTAAATTTGCCAAGGTGTATGAATGTTTCCCAGTACTGGGTTGCAGCCGGAAGGGCATCAGCTGTTTAAAACATGTTGGATAAGTTGGTGGTTCATTCTGCTGTGGTGACCACTGATGAATAAAGGGACTAAGCCGAAGGAAAATAAATTAACAAATGAAATGTTCTATCAGCAACTGTTATACACTGATTTTGTAATCAAATCAATAGTCTGTTGTAGTATTTAATCAGAAAATAGTTCCAATCATTTCTCAATAATTCCCAGTCTCCAGTAGGAGATTTCTTGTTAAAAGCCAAAGCCATTATCGTGAATTACTCTGGAGAGTCAGAGGCTCAGGGTGAATAGATGCTCCTCACTAACCCATGGGGACTGTTGAAATTGTTTCCAAGGTAACTGCCTAAAACACCCTGCATAATTTCACCTGTCTGAATACTTCAGCACATCAACGTTCAGTAAATTACAGCATTGGTTTGCCATTGCAAACAATTTCAAAACTAACGACAGCAAGGTTTGGTTTATCTGATACTGGGTTTATGGATTAGTGGGTGGGAAACAGCAAATAAGAACAAACCAGCAATGCTTTGTATTAGAAAAATAAACAACATACAAGCAGAAAGCTAAATATTGCAAAATTAAATTCGCTTGCCTATTTTATTAACTCTAAACTGAATTGTCTATGCAATTAATAAGCATTGCTTGTAACAAGTGAATATGGCAACACTTTTGAAGCATTCTTTAAGAAACGGCACTTAAAAAAACTACCTCTAGACAGTGGTTTATTTAAAAAAATAAACTGATTATAATGAGTCTTTGGGTATTACACTATTGCTAATAAGATTTTTTTCTATTGCAATTTTGTGTGCAGCAGAAGTCAAACAGGTTTTAAACAAGTAATTGATGAATAAATTGTGGCGGAATATTCAGTTTTGTGTGAACTATCCCTTTAACAAATAATGTCCTAATAATGTCTGTTGGCTGTTAATATAATGTGTATTAATGTAGTATGGTTTATATTTCACTCTAAGTATTACTTTCAATTAGCATGGATGTATTACATTTAACAAATGTCAGTAACCTTTATACTATTGCTTAAGATTATATTTCACTTAAATGTTCTTTTCAAATAATCCTGAAAAGATAATTTCATGGTTCTCACACAACCTGTAAGCAGTGCAACTGTTTCAACACTGATAATTACACAAAATGCTTAGACTATCTTAAAATGACAGGAGTAAATTACATTTTAAATTATAGAAAGTTGTAATATTGTTCATAATAATTATATGGGATAAGTAAAACCATTGATATCACAAGTAATTCATGACTAAAAACAAAACCAATGATTTTAATGACTGACTTTATTGTATTTAAGGCATATATGTGTTACAGTTAAATCAGTGGTTTGGTCCCTTATTTGTAATATGCCATGGTGCTTACCAACAAACATTCAATAATATTGTGAATTTATCCATAATCAGATTTAATGCTGGTTATATCTTAATCATTCCACCATACTGAGGCTCACATTTATAATCCTAACATCATCAACGAGGCTAAAAACTCTCTGAAACTACATTTAAGAAACACAGGCAATATTTGAGGTCTAAGTTGTTATCACCATAACAATATCTTAAACGTTTGATTTTACCCATTACCATAAACATCAAACGGCAGTTTTCAGCTACAAACAGTGATTACTCTGCCAAACACTCAAAAGACTGCTGGGAAAAATCGCTAGATTTGTAAACCCTAACGTTTTAGTTAGAATTAACATCAACAGCATCATTTTTTTCTGTCTTCTTAATCCCAACGTTCTCATCTGTGTTTTCCTCCCGCTTGGCTGCTGTCTTGGATTTGGGATGTCCCTCTTCCTCTCTCTCTTTTTTAGGATTGCGGGTTGAGGTGAAAGCAGAGCGGCTCTGATAGCCATAAGTGATGCTGGGTGTGCTGGAGAAAGTCACTCCAGAACTAAAATGGGTTTCTTCACCTTCCAGTAGCTTCCTATGAGGACATCAATAAAGACTGGTTAGTCAAAGGATGTCAAAAGTATGATAACTGTAGTTTAGTGTCAGAGGACAACAATCAATTTAATATATGTGCATGGTGCAGTGTTGTTTTTCCTTCTACAGCAGAATGAATTCTGATAGGCTTTCAATCTTTTCACCATTCATAATTCTAACAATGTCCTTTTTTTGTTCTGTCAAAGTTGTAGGTGGATTCTGCTATTTTATTTTAATTTGGATTTTGAGAACTGTATTTTTTCATCATTATCTAGGGTGTCCGTGGGGCCTGAAAATATGTTAAATTTTAAAAACTGAATTTTAAATCTTAAATCCACTGAAATGTTTTGTTGTATGTCTTAAATCATTTTAAACAGGTCTTATTTTTGCTTTGTCCAAGTGTCGGGCCAACATCCATCCAATCACCAACAATACATCTTAATAATACGTTTTATTGCAGAGATACAATTTACAACAGCAGTTGAGGGAAAGATAACTAAAGACATGTATATGATTCCTCGTGATAATACCTGGTTATTAAAAAAATCCTTAATGTTTTAAAGTTTTAACCCTGCATAAGGCTAAAATGTCATTTGTAATGGTTTTAAAGGGCTTTAAAAAGTCTTAAACTTGACTTGATGAAACCTGCAGAAACCCAGTTATTATACATTATATCATTATTTTAGCACGTCAATATTTATAGTTATTCTTAGTGTGAACTAATATTTGATTTCTCATGCATTAGTAGAATTGAGCTGTATTTATTATCTTGGCTTTGACATAAGAGAAAACATCTTATTTTATGTCCACATTAAATGCAAGAAAAGCGTCTATTTTTCACCATGGTCTTCACAGACTTCACAGACAATAAATTAAATGATCTTCATTCAGCTTAATAGATACCTTTCTGTAAAAATGAGATAATGCACTTATTCTGACACATACTTATTAAAATATATGAAATTATGGTCACTATTTGATGATCCATTTGTTGAATTTAAGTTACATTGCAACTAATTATCATTAGAGAATAGACTGGGGTTGGGGTAAGGGTTAGTGTAAGTTGACATGTACTGGCAAAGTTTCTTATAGTCAGTTAAATGTCATTTGAAGCAACAGTATAAACAGATATTAAGCCAACGACAGCCTACTAATACTGAAATAGACCATCAAAATAAAGTGTTACCTAAATTATCTGCTATTATACAAAAAGTCTTGTACATGTTTTAAAAACATATTGCAGATAAATAGTAGTATTCTAGTGGTTTGAATGTTGGTGACAAAATATAAATATTTAAAAAATAAAGTATATTATTATTAGCTGCACTGTGATCCTTGAATATTATTTTAATACGCAATTAAATGATTCTTGTTCTAAGTATCCTTGACAATATTCTTTTGTCATAAATTATTATCAAGTTGGTTTTTTAAAGTTGGTATGGATTGTAATTATTTTTTGAGCTACATCACATTTTTATTGTTTTGATTAAGGCTGGACTATTTTGGAAAATCGCAATATGTAATTTTGCTGCAATTTATATTGTGATATGAATACAATTTCTGCAGATGAATTGAATAGCTCTATTTAGGATAAAATCATTAACTTAGATTGTAATAATCTTGTTGAGGAGTGAATAGGTAAGATAGAGCAAAGATAAAAGTGAAATAAGTCGTCAGATATTCAGATACAGTAATACGATACGATATTATCATGATATTTTGCCCCTGATAATGATAGATCATGGTATCAGCGATATATCACAAGAAAACCATCCACAATATCATATTTGTAAATGAAGAGGGAAATATATCAAAAAATTACAAGGTGCATTTCTTTTAATAACAGCACATATATTTTCTTAGGAATTGCAACATTGTTATATGTTCGTTCTGCCATTAAAAGAAGTGCCACCTCATGCATATCGCTATTTTGTCCGGTCCCTATTGAATAATCAAAGGTAATGTAAAATGTTAACACTGTACATTCCTTATTGCTGATCAACAAGAATAATCAAACTCCACATTGCAGATGCTGCGATGTATGGCGAATGCACACATTGCGATATCGATGCTGAAACGATATATTGTGAAGCCCTAGTTTTGATGCTTGACACCCCTTTTGTTTTTGAACAGTATGACTAATTAATCAGTGCTTTACCTGTATGCTGCAATTTCAATGTCTAATGCCATCTTGACGTTCAAGAGATCTTGATATTCTCTGAGGTGACGGGCCATTTCACTCTTAGTATTTCGAAGTTCAAGGTCCAACTGCCCAATTGTTTCCTGGTTAATGGATAAAAAACACATTAGCTTTAGTGAAAAGACTTACAAAAAGAGAAAAGAAAAAGAACCCTTTTCACATTCACATACACACTGATTAATTAGCTTTGCACCTAAATAGGCTGTCCTGTAAAAGCTGATCTCTTGGCCTTGATCAGCCGTCTCGACGCAAAATTCCGAAAGACTAATCTGATTTACACGGCCACTTCTTTCACTCTTAAGAGATCAAAGGTCATAGATCATTATAGATATTTATGTGTGGATACTTTATATGGTGACATTTTAAACTTGCACATCTATAAAGTGTTTCTGTCACATCAAAATAAACACATATGGAATTTATGTTTCAGGTTTCTGCCACCAAGTGAACATGACCTTGCATAAACCTCTCTTGCAAAATCCTCTTTATGAAGAGACCGTTCTTAGTGGCATTAACCTCGGCCACCTCTCTGCGATTAGTTCAGCACCATGGACAGAACTCCCGGCTTGTTGACAGGGCAGTTCAAGCAGACTCATCCACGACCTGTGCTGTAATTCATGCTTAAGTATTTTTAACATCTTTACAGTTCTGCTATAATTATCAGACTTACATTTTTCATGAGCTACAATAGCATGATTACATTAAATATTTAGATATTTTAGCTCATCTCTGTCACATGACTAGATCATTTGAATCAACTAATAAAGTAAGAAAAGGTTATTAATTATTATCTTTAATTAGTTATGATTATAATTATACAGTCACAGCATCTAAAGCATGCTCTTTCCCTAATGCATTTATATAAATTAACATAAAATCTTAACATTGTGTTAAAACCAATGTAAAACAATTAAATGATTAATAGACATGTTTTGTATTTGTATTTTGCTAATAATAATGATGATGGTTATTATTACTGAATTAAATGTTCTCTTTTTATTAATCAATGGTTAAAAAGAAAAGTGAAATAAAAAGTAACATCTGTATTATTAAAAATATAAAAGTTGTTTGAATAAACTGATGAGATAGATAGATAGATAGATAGATAGATAGATAGATAGATAGATAGATAGATAGATGTGGTAAAAAATGTTAATAAATATGGTATCTTTATGTTGATTTATTATATGGAAACTGAAAATGTCATTTTTAATACATAATATACAAAATACTAAATGTTTTAATACCAAACTTCATATACATTATTGTGTGGAGATAGATAGATAGATAGATAGATAGATAGATAGATAGATAGATAGATAGATAGATAGATAGATAGATAGATAGATAGATAGATAGATAGATAGATAGATAGATTATTTTTATGGATTTTAATGCATGGTATTTTACTTCATATTGTAATTTGTGTCTACCTGATAACCTGCGACCTCTGCATTGTGTGCTTCTTCCATCTCGCGGATCTGCCGTTCAAGTGACTCGTTTGTGCCTCGCAGGGTTTCAATCTCGATGGTTTTGGACTGTAGCTGTCGCCGGTAGTCGTTGACCTCCTCCCTAGTGGCCCTCATGGCCTCGTTGGTCCTGGTGGCCTGTTCATTGAGACTAGCAAACTTTGATTTGTACCATTCCTCGGCAGACTGCAGGTTTTTAGACGCGAGGGTCTCATACTGGCCGCGAATGTCCTTGAGGGCCGAGGTCAGATCAGGCTTGGACAACTCCACTTCCACAGATATCTGTGCCGCCTGGATCATATTAGTCAACTCGGTCACCTCTTCGTCATGCACCTTCCTCAGAAAATTTATCTCATCTAAAAGTGATTCGACCTTTCTCTCCAGGTCCACGCGGACCATGGTGGCATCATCCACATCTTTCTTGTAGGATCTGAGCGTCTGCTCTGCCTCCTCGCGCGCTCGGATCTCTTCCTCAAACTTGCCTCGAAGTTTCTGCAAGTCTTCCTCGATGCTGTCGCGTTCAATGAGAATGTGCGATTTCTCGTTGTTCAGCTCGTCTACCTGAGCTCGCAGGTCCCGGATCTCCTGCTGATAGAGTTCAGCAAGTCTGGACGGCTCGTTCTGCCTCTGGCGCAGACTCACCAGTTCGGTCTCCAGCACTTTATTGTGCTGCTCCAGATTGCGCACTTTCTCGATAAACATCGCGAACCGGTCATTGAGTCCTTGCAGCTGTTCCTTTTCATTGGTTCGAACGATTTTAAACTCGTTGTTCAAAACAGAGGTTTGAGAGAAATCCACGCTGTCGAAATGGACCGGCGAGAATGAAGATGACCGGCCCGATCTTTTATAGTAGCCCGCAGGAGAGGCGCTGCTGCGGGAGACAGACTGAGACCTGAAGCCGCTGGAGGACATGGAGCTCCGGGGAGAGACATTGCTCATTCTAGAGCCGGCAAAACGAGGGTTGTCCCCGAACAATTTTCTGTAGGATGAAGACATGTAGTGGTCTGATCCGTAACTCATCTTCGTCACAACTAAGGGAGTCTAAAACTGGTGTGCTTGCCATTATATACCCGGCGGACTGTCCCATTTAGCAGCCTGTCATATTCCCTCTGGTAGTGACTGTTAAGACAAGATCATTTGCTGAAACATTCAGGTGCAATAAAGTATTTAATGAGTTGTTGTGATGTAGCTGGGAATCGCGTACACATAATGAACAGACTTTCTGGCTGTGGAAACTGCGGTGTGTGTCGATGGAACTGTCCGACATTGCGCAGTGCTGAACAGACCCGCAATTCAACAGTTAAATCCATTTAGGTTTCATTTAAGAACATTTTAAGTATTTATGCCTTAAAATGTTTAGATGCCTATGCTGTTCCAGTCTGGGCATTGGAATTAAACAAGCAAAAAGCAGAAACAGTGCAACTCAGACTTTAAAGACATACATTTTTACATTGGATATACTCGAGACGTACTAAATACACGGGAAATACACGTAGAAAAGGCACTCTTGATCGTGATCAAGATTGTTGTATGTTATCGTAATGAATAAATTATCGCATGAAATAAAATCTAGACTGGTGAAAAACTTTCACTACACTTTGTCAAATAATTATCCTAAATGCCTTGACAATGTTTTGGTTAAATTGCACTAAATGCAAAAGGTGTTTTTTATATAATAATAATTGTAACTGAAAATAATCTGTGTTTTTTATGTTTAAAATAAACTTTTTAAATGCATATTTAATGCTTATTCTAAATCGTATAACCTTGTGTTTGGAAGCATAAACACCTTTTAAAAAATTTTTTTATTACAATTTTGGATCCATAAACAGCCTATGTCATGTTTCATTGGACCTAATCCACTTTTAAAGAACATTTTAAATGAAATGCACAATTTCTTGTATCTGAAACTAAAACGTCACACATTATAATTGGCAACTCGGTGTAGTTGATAACCTGCAGATGGCGGTATTTATCTTCTAATTCTATATTTTTGATGAGTTTTTAGTTTTTTTGTAGATTTCTGCTTTATTTTTACCCCTCTCTGTGTATCTCACTACATAATATCTTTCACAATGTTCAGTATTCAATTAAGAATTTGTCTTAATTTCATTAATCCCCAGACAGACATGAATTTAAAAATAGAAAAAAATTAAATGTAGTTCTTTATGGGTTTCAGATTGATTAGTGGTTTTAGATTAGTATCGTGTCGATTTCAACAAAGCAATTAGGCTATATTATTACCTGCGTTTAAGTGTATATTTCTTTGAAGCGTGTGCGCATGCGCATCACAGATAGCGCAGAGCTGCAGTTGTTGTTGGTCACTGACGGAGGTGAGGTAAGTAGCCTACAGTCCCTGCGGGGAAATATAACGCATCTGAAGAAACAGTAGTTATGTCATTAAATCGTTGCAGGAGGACTGTTGTATATGAGCGTTATAGCGACTTTTGTACGGCAGTCCCTTATACATTTTATACAATAATTTCCGGTTGATAAAAACTACAGGAATGTTAACGTTAGTTAGCTGCTGTGCTAACTTTACCATTACGGAACTGCATGGGACATTTTGCTCCCATTTATGACATAAGATTAATTTGTTATTAATAAATATTTACACTGGCTGACCATGACCCGGCATAGTCTGGAGATTAATGTGTTTATTTGTGTGAAACGGCTTCTGCTTTATATTAAAAGCTCTTTTGAGTGTTCTAAAAATACATAACGTTCTCATTCATCAGACAAAGATGTCAGTGAAGTCATACTGTTTTTATTTTTAGTTTAATTTAACATGCCATTATTTGCAGCACTATCCTGTGTATTTATTACATTTTGATATTTTTATTATTGGCAAACCTTCATTTACAGAGTGCACGTGCGAGTCTGTGTGTGTGTGTGTGTTTATAAATATTCTGTCAGAGAGGCTGTCCTTCTGTTTTAAGGTTACAAATTAAATCATAATAATAGACAATTTGCTCCAATTCTGTTCTTTTTAGAGGGAGTTTAAGTGCCATAAAGCTGGTAGCTTTCTGTAGTTGCGTGTCTTCCTGTTTTGAGTGTTTATCTTCCTGACAGGAAATACTGTTAAGTTAACTTAAAACGATTAAATTAAATCTAGTATTATTAATGTAATGAAAATTTTGAGACTAAAAAAGTTTTTGTTTGCGCATTATTGAGATGATTCATATTGATATTGATTCATGGTTTTTGTATCTGCTGAGGCAGGTATTCTATTTGCATTGTGTAGTTTATAATTTAGTTTAATAATTTATATACAGTGATTTTAAAGATGAATTGTCAGCTTTATTACTTCAGTCTTCAGAAATCACTGTAATATTATATTAATTGTTATTATTATTAGTAGTAATAGTAATAAAAGCAATAATGACTGCAGTAATAATTTTTTATTTTTTTGAAACTACATACAATAAGAAAGCATTTATTTTCTCTTGGGTTTTCCTAGCTAACTAATTAGGAACAAGTATGAACAGCGATTTTCTGCGTGTTAACTTTTCCTGCCAGAAAGAATATTTTGATTTCATGGATCAATGATAAGCCCCCTTCCATGAAAGGATGGCATTCAATAATTCAAGAGATTATTCCCCTGGAATACTTGTCTTAGCCACTCCACAACTGATACATTTATTCACTCTTGGTCACCATATCTGGACAATATAAACCTTGCTTTGTGATATTTTGAAACTCGGAATGACATAATATCCAAATAGACATTAATTTGTGTGTATTCTGTTTTTCATCAAACTTCTCACTCTTCCTGGCATATTGTAATATTTGTAACATAATAGCTTATGGCTTTGGCCATATGTATATTTTAGTATATGCAGTTATGTTTTGTGTCAGGCATTTTATGTTATGATGTATTTTTGTTTTGTGCATGTCTAAAAAAAATAAAATAAAATAAATAAAAACATGTTAAAAAAAAGAAAGCATTTATTTAAACTTAAATAAATATTTAACAATTTAACAATTTGTTTGCATTTAATAAATGCTGCCTTGATGAACAGAATAATTCATTAATAATAATAAAAATAAAACAACTGACCCCAAACTTTTGACCTGTAGTGTACATATATTATAATTGTTTTTTCTATTATTATTATTATTATTATTTTTATCATTATCATTTAATAAACCACTAATATAACCATTATGTGCCCTGTAAAACAGTTCTCTTTTATTTAATATTGCTACGTTTTACAGAATTTTAACGGTTAAAGATGACGACTTCTTGGAGTGATCGGCTTCAGAATTATGCGGATATTCCAGCCAACATGGACGGTTTATCCATGAAGAAGTACAGAAGAGAGGTGCATCACAGGTAGTTAAACATTTCACTTGTGCTTTTAGCTTTGCAGCCCATTGTCATTGTATTGATTCAATCAGACTGCATAGTATCTTGGTTACGCAAAAAACAAATAGTCTTACTCAAATTTACTTGTTTCAAGAACAACTTGTTTATTCAATTTTTCAAATTGTAACAGCAGGAGAAATTACTATAAATCATCTGGTTTTCATTTCAGATAAGATTGTGAACATTTTATTGGTAAAAACACTTTCTGATTGAAGTATTTCTTGAAATATTTATTTAATGAAATATGTTGGTGCTCAGAATAATTTTATGTAGCATGATTAGAGTTGCATTGCCGTTATGTTGCTTCGTGAATGCTTCTCTGTTCATGTCTGTCTGTCAAATCCTTTGTCAACTTCATTGTTGAAATGATGTCAGCTTCTGTGTGATTTAAGCAATGTCGTATGAATTGCAGGCTTTTTTTGCAAAGACATTTTTTTTGTTTTGTTTTTTTGGCTGCTCAAATATTTTTAAATATGAAATTATTTTTATAGGCTATATATACAAATCGTGTCTGATAGGGTAATACAGCACAAACATGTATTTTATACTAGCAATCAATATTTATTTTGAACAAATGTAAGAATTAAATTACTGAAAATATTCAGCAGAAAGCACTATGAGAGAATAGAGGCCAATTTAAAATCACATTAAATGCAATGAATTAAAGACATGTATTGTCATATAAAAGCCTATAGGAACACAGTTGTTCATGTAGTGGCTTTGGCCGGTATGTACTGATGTAATATATAGTCCATGTATTCCTTTATCACAAAGCTTACCACAGGAACTGGCCCACTGTCATCCTTCTATGAGGTATGCCAAAGTTTTGTTGTTGACGTGCAGTGCTGACTGATCATCTGTTTAATTGATGTCTTTTCCCCCAATGTACTCATCATGGCACAGCACTAAAAATATCAAATGAACCAAACCATCAAGGATTTTGCACTGTGCTGTGATTTTATGTAGGTGTGAAGACCTGTGATGGGATATGATCATGTGAGATCATTGCTTCATTCTCCTTTCCTCTAGCTGTACCTTCTTGCTTCATGCTCTTAACACATCTTTCAACTATAATTTACAGTAACAGCTCATTTGTTATAAATGAAGCTTTATTTGTGACACCCTCACACCTCAAATGTAGAGTTTGTTGATGATGTTCTAGCATCAGGTAAATCTAAAGAAAATAATAACATGCTTTAGGACTCATCATTAACCACTTGAAAGATAACAGATATGTAAGTACACTACCTGACAAAAGATTTGTCGTTGATCCCAGTTGTACGAGCAACAAATAATAACTTGACTTCTAGTTGATCATTTGAAAAGTGGCAGTAGGTAGATTTTTTTCAATAAATCATCTGTTGAACTGCATCCTAATCATCACAAATACTGCAAAAGACCTATTGGAACCCGCGTGGACCCAAGATTCTCACAGAAAACAGTTTGGTGATGGAAAAGTCATGGTTTGGGGTTACATTCAGTATGGGGGCGTGTGAGAGATCTGCAGAGTGGATAGCAACATCAACAGCCTGAGGTATCAAGACATTTGTGCTGCCCATTACATTACAAACCACAGAAAAGGGCAAATTCTTCAGCAGGATAGCGCTCATTCTCTTACTTAAGCCTCCACATCAAAGTTGCTGAAAGCAAAGAAGGTCAAGGTGCTCCAGGATTGGCCAACCCAATCACCAGAAATGAATATTATTATTCAGCATGTTTGGGGTAAGATGGCATTGAAGATGAATCCATAGAATCTTGATAAACTCTCAAGAGTCCTGCAAGAAAGCTTTATTTGCCATTTCAGATGACTTTATCAATACATCTCTGCAATGTCTCAAATAACTTATTGATAAAGTCATTCAAGCTATTGGAAGTCATACACAATATTCTTTTTTCCCACCGCCTCATGACTTTTTCTTCTACACTGTACATTATTTCTGATAAATTACAAAACTTTTGACTAAGAAAAGTCAGACATTACAGTCCTAAATAAATAATTAAAAAACAAGGCATGATCATATTTTAAAATATGTACATTTTTAACATTTGTAAAATAAGTGTGGTCTAGATACTTCTGATACAAAATGATCAACAAGAAGTCAAGTTATTATTTGTTGTTCCTAAAACTTGGATAAGCAACAATATTTTTGTCAGGTAGTGTAATTGTAACCCAAAAATGAAAATGTACTCGCTATTTGCTCAGCCTCAATTACTTTCAAACCAATATGAGTTTCTTTTTTTAGTTAAATGCTAATAAAAAAAGTGTTTTGTTTTTTTTAAGAAGAAGAAAGAAGAAAGGTGGAAACTAGTAACCGGTGACATGCATAATATTTTTTCAGCATTTTAAAAAACATATATGTTTTTGTGTTCAAAAAAAAAAAAAAGAAACTCAAACAGGTCTGTGACAAGTAAAGGCCGAGTTAATTATGACAGAATTTTCAGTTTTGGATGAACTGTAAAAATACCAAATTTTATGAAATCTAGAAAAGCCTTTTTTTATCCTAACTGTGAAGCATTTCAAATGGTAAGTATTTGTCTTTAACTGCATATTTTGCCTAATTAATAATAATTGAGATTAATTAAACCGTTTATATATTTCATTTATGTGTATTTCAGTGTAAACCACACTTTAAAAAAATATCTGTAAATTTGCTGTTTTTTGGATATTTTTGTTTTTTGTGATTCATGTTTTTATTTTTATTTTTTTTACGTTTATTTATGCTTTTGAATTGTTAACATTTTGGGATTTTGATCTTTCTTCCAACAACTTTTAACCTTAAAAAGTTAGAATAAACAGAGTCATCAAAAGTCAACAGAGCAGAGATCAATGTCCCATAATGCAATTCACAGCTGTAAATAAACTGAAAACACTTGTGAATCACAAAATGCTGAATCTGCTAATTAACAGATATTTGTATAGTGCATATTCTAACCAGACGAAAAGTGTTCTTGTGGTTAAAAAATAGTTAGAAAAACATATTTTTCAGGTTTGTAAAACAGATGTGTTCAGCAGACCATGTGGAAATTGTCCCCCTTATTTTATTATTTAAAAAAATGTTTTTATTTTTTTATTTTGCTGTCTTGATACCATGACCAGTCATTATCACCTGAACAAAAAAAAACTTGATTCAATTGTAAATCAGGGAAATAAATGACATTGCCTTTAGCTTCTTCTCATATTTGTCTGCTGTTGGCTGAACTAGGAGTAGATGTCATTTAACCAAATGCATAAATTCTCATTTGTTGCTTTCACAGGTCAAACTGTTAACTCATTATTTACACTAACATAAACTCCAAGGCAATGGAATTAGAAAACAGTCTGCTGAATTCAACACTGTTTGCAACCAACAGAATATCCATCAATTGATTGTATTTGTACCTCCACACAGAGTTTTTGTCAATAGAAGTTTGGCAATGGAGAAGATAAAATGCTTTGGCTTTGATATGGACTACACTTTGGCAGGTAAGATCAACAAGTATCTCTATGGAAGAACATGGGCTGTGGGATTACATGTTGTGAAGGTCATTTAAGTTTAAAAGAATCGTAAAGCATTACAAAATGGCAGGATCATAGTATGCTACTGTAAGATAATCCATGATCTCGTGTATTTGATGGTGTCATGGTTCTTTAAAAAGCACTCTTGTCTTCATGCCAAGCACCTGATTTCTCACTCTACACTCTTGATGTTTGAGATGGATGAGTGCACTGAGATCCAAAATATGAGATGTGGGTCTTTTCATTGGTTTTATTTCTGTTTATGGGTTTATAATGATAAACAAGTGCTAATGTTCACAAGAAATGTATTATGTTATGTATTATAAATGAACGTGCTTCTCTAACTATCTTATGATTGCACTGCAGTGAATTTGCTTTGTGTGGTATATGTTTCAGCAGAAAAAACAAGGGTTTGTAGCCAGACTTTGATTTTAATGATTAGTTTTTGCTTTCATCTACATTTTATGGTCATCAATCTTATTGGTCTGTATCCAAGTAGAGACCTTGAACTTAAATTGGTCTTGCTGTTATTCAGTTGAGCTTTGAAGACAGAATGGCAGTTCAGAGAGATTGGGATGTTTGTGTTTGTGGAGCTTGATCATGGGGTAGACTCCATTTCAGCAGTTTTGACATTTCCTTCTATCTCGAGCAGAAGTCTTGTCTCTTCAGGGAAATGCTCATTTAGGGAAATGCTCGTTCAGCTGATCAGGCTAATGTCTGGTTCTAGCTCCACATAATAATGTAAAAGTTTTGCATTTGTTTGATGTTATCTGTGTCCTGAAAAATGTTTGCTCACTTAACAAAGCTCTGTTTATTTAGTTTCTTGGGGTGGGAGGAGGTCTATCTTTAGTTGATTTGAAGAAACAACAAGGCACTTTTACTCAATTGTTCACATAGCAGTCATTTTCAGGTCCAGTTATAGATTAATCTACAGTAGATTGAGAGTTAGTAAATTATGCTTTAAAAGAAACTGTGAAGCACTAAAAACTATAAAAATTACCTTATTATTTTCAGAAATATCAAAGCATTAACAGGGTTCACTGCTAAGCATTTTTTTCTACTGATCCGATCGGGCCAGTGGTTTAGATTTTTACTTGCCCTGCCAACATTTTTACTGGCCCCACCAAAAAAAAAAAGAAGGAGAAGTTTTATAGCTATTTTTAGCCACATATTTTAAATAATGTGTCAAAAATAATGTCTGTGAATCTAAAATTTTAATTAATAAAAAAGTTAATAAATGTATAATGAGCAAAATTCAAAGTGTTATGCAAACAAAAAGAGCAGTATGGAAAATGTGGAGGTATTTTATTGCAGTTCAAAATTATTTAAAAAAGAAAAGGTGGCTGACTTGTCAAACTGATGGCAAACTGTGCAAAACATTATTTTTTTGACGTGTTGTTTCTACATAAATGTTTGCTTTCAAGATATTAGAAACAGATATTTTCTTTTAGCCTGATAATTTGATGTTGCCGCCATGTTGCCGTTTCTTTGTGTACTGATTGTCACCAGGTTATGGGAACAAAATAGTATGCTCAAAACATCAAATCACATAAGAGGAACTAAAAAGCATTATGGTCTTTACGACAACACAGAGAAGATAGCATTAAAAGACTTAAAAGCACAAACTTAAAATGCATGCAATTGACAAATATTCACAGGCAAATTAAACTTTAGTGACAAGGCAACACTGTCCCAATCGGGCCAGTAATGATCCTTTCTACTGTCCCAAGCGTCTCTCACGCTGACTCTGAGCCACTGGGCAGTCTTTATTGTTGAGCCCTGATTAATATGCTTCTAACTGTGCTTCATATGTTTACTGGAAAAGGAAAGAAATGGACCATTATGCAAATAAAATTAAAAGACCATACTAGTCAACTATTGGGCCAGTGAGAATTATGTTTAAAAGAAATTGAAAATTTCCTTTAATAATGCTGAATTGATGGAACATTTTCATTAAACAATCCAATGATGACAGGTGCCACAAAACCTTAACTATCAAATCATTTTTCTTTTTTTTGCTATCAATAAAAGGAAAGGGTATTAGTGTGTTTGTTTGAGTGAAAAAAATTCTTTCTTGCAATCACAGGAGTAAAGCTTATTTTTTATATATATTTAAATTAAAATATTGCACTTTTGAATTGTGATCACATATAGTATATATAATGTATTTTATTAAAATATTATAATATTACTGTTGTCACTTGGTGAATATAAGACATCTTTCAGAAACAAACAAGGGGCAGGGGGACTGAATATTATGTTAACCCTTGTGTGCTGTTGCAGATGTTTTCATCCACTCTGGGGTGGTTTTGAATCCTAATTTGGTCACAAATTTCTCTGTGTTTTATCAAATGGAATGATGTACCTATTTTGTACATATAATTATACATATTTTGGAACAATGCTTTGAAATAATTCAACAATAGACTCTGGGCAAATGTACTACCCTTTCCCTATGTTAGTGGCTGTTTTTGTCCCATTGACTTCCATTACATTTTTTGATTATGCACTCTTGATTTTTGGTAGTTTTCCCTGTTGGGAAAACGTAAAATCTGCTATTTTTACTGTTGGTCAACAGTTGCAGTGCAAGAAATCTTAGTTTCTGGTTTTTATACGGAGGTAAGTGTGTTTGTGAATATGTACACAAGACCTTTGCACACTTACGTTGATATGTCCGAGAAAATCAAAAAAACCACCTCAGTTCTCAGAACATACAGTTGTAAACATACTAAGTATATTAATGCACACAAACTATTTTTTGTGTTTTACTTCATAGAACTCTATATAAAACCGAGATTTTTTTTAACTGGTCAATCTAAAGGGTTAATGGTGTCAACTGATGATCAACAGTAAAAATTTAAAATTTTACTTTCTGCCAACAGTATGAGTTTGAACTAGTGTGTGTGGATGTTTCCCAAAGATGGGTTGTTGCTGGAAGGGCATCCGCTGCGTAAAATCGTGCGATTAAGTTTTCGGTTCATTCCGCTGTGGCGACCCCAGAAAAATTAAGAGATTAAGTCGAAAAGAAAATGAATGAGTGAATTAACTTTCTCCCAACAAGAAAAAAAACAAGAATGCAAGATTATATGATGTCAAGGCTTTGTAATCAAAAAAATATAGTCATAACAGAGGTCAACAGGGTAAAAAGAGCCACTAACATAAGAGAGAGATTGTAAATTTCAACAAGGGATAAACGCATGTTTTCACCTCCTTTATGTGCTATATTGATCACTCTCTAGATAACCTAGTCTCTGTTTTCCTTAATGTTAATAGTGTACAAGTCTCCGGAGTATGAGTCTCTTGGCTTTGATCTGACTGTGGAACGACTTGTTTCCATTGGTTACCCCCAAGAGCTACTAAACTTTGTCTATGACCCTGCTTTTCCCACAAGGTGATTTTTAAGTCATTTTTCAACATTTTCAATGCAATAAAACTTGACTTCCACTGCATATTTTGATCTACACATGTTCTGTTTACCTTTTAGAGGCTTGGTGTTCGATACAACGTATGGAAACCTGCTGAAAGTAGATGCATATGGAAACATTCTTGTGTGCGCTCATGGTTTCAACTTCTTGCGTGGGTGAGTCAGCACAAGCATTTAGGATCAAGCGATGACCTGGTTATTTAAGTTTGGTTCAGTTGTGTCCTTCATTTTAGTATTTGTTTCATCTTTGTAACAGAGACAAAATATTTGCGACAAAATGTCTTGGTCACACTTCCCACAAAGGTCATAATTAGTGTATTTTTCATGTTGTTTTCAGTCCAGAGATAAGAGAGCTGTACCCAAACAAGTTCATTCAGCGTGGAGATACAGAGCGATTCTACATCCTCAACACACTCTTTAACCTCCCAGGTCAAAATCTTATATCAAATTTTACACACACACACACACACACACACACACACACACACACACACACACACACACACACACACACATATATATATATATATATATATATATATATATATATATATTAGGGATGTAACGGTATTGTAAATACCGTCATACCGCAATATTAAATTTTTTCGATATTACCGAAGTCGCATGACTCGGTAAAACTATAGGTCTTCTGAGAAAATTTGCTCAGGCGAATGAAGCGAACGGGAGGTAGCTGAAACTTCATTTCCCATCAGCCCCGGCGTGGCCATAATCCTTTGCGGTCTGTTGTCGCTACAGATCCAGTAATGCGGAAATGGAGTGTGCTGCTAGTAGCGGAGATGAAAAAAAGATGGAAATGATCGAACCTAAAGCGGGTGTTGTCGCCGCGCGCGTGCTGAATAGCGGTGCTGTCGCGCGCGTTCTGATCAGCTGTGTTGTGGCGCGCGTATTGTAAAGCGCCGAGGGGGGGTTGAGCGCGCATACTCAAGAAAGGTGTTATCGCGCGCCTACTGAAGGGCTGGACTGGACGGAGGTTGTGTCGCGTCGCGGGGGCACTTTTGATCGTTTTGGAAGGGCATTTTCTATCCAAGACTAAAAAGGGCATGTGCACTGCACAGGTTGAGCCCTATGTGTGCACGTGCCTGCAAGTTGGGGAATACGACTAATAACAGTCATGGGGACTGCAGAAACACAGCACACTGTTCAGATTGATGCAGACATTGACTTGTACCGCAAAGAGACCTCTATCTCACTCATGGTTTGTCCTCTCAAGTGGGGGAAAGACAATGCACAACGTTACCCACTGCTGTCAACATGGACCAAGTCATATCTCTCTTGTCCCAGAATCCTCAGTCCCAAATGAGAGGGGTTTTTTCTGTTGCAGGGGACATTGTAAATAGCCAGAGATACCAGCTTTTACCAGATTATAGTTATATGATAATTTTCCTTTAAACCCATCCCTATCTAAGTGAGTGATTAAATGTTAAATGTGATGAGTTTTTAACAATACTAAATTTAAACTTTTTTTTTTACATGGTTTAATAATTTTTTGTTATTAAAATTGAAGTTCCTGTTTCAAAGCTTACAGATAGATGGCTAATTTGTATGTCATTGACACTTTTGGCACTTTTTTGGAGTATTTTCAAAAGTTTTTTTTTTTCCTGTAAATGATTCAATAAATACCGTACCGTGACATTCATACCGAGGTATTACCGTACCGTGAAATTCTGATACCGTTACATCCCTAATATATATATATATATATATATATATATATATATATATATATATAAAGATAATATCTGTAGTTTATGTATGAGCTCACATTATATGTGTTTGTGTTTTTTTAGAGACATATCTATTTGCCTGCCTGGTGGACTTCTTCACTAGTTGCTCAAGATACACCAGGTCTTTTTTCTGCTCTCATTTTATCTCCTATGTAACTATTCTGATATATAATTATAGTAAAAGTGGTGTTTTGTGTCTTTTTATTTTCATTCCAACAGTTGTGAGATGGGCTTTAAAGATGGAGATCTTTTCATGTCTTTTAAGAGCATGTTTCAGGATGTCAGAGATGCTGTGGATTGGGTCCATTTTAAGGTAAAGGCCATTTTTACATGTTAACATACTTGATTCTTATAAAGAACTGCACTTTGTGTAAATCTTAAACTGTGGATAACCTCTTCTGTGTAATATTTCAGGGCTCACTAAAGGAGAAAACGGTTGAAAACCTAGAGAAATATGTGGTGAAAGATGTAAGCCAACCAGATTGTTGTGTAGACGTGAGCTGTATTCCAGAAAGCAATCAAATATACATCAAATATACATTTCCAAACAATTTAGCCTAAATAAGTTTCTGGGAATAAGTTTAGTTATCTCAAAGTATGATTGCTCTGAATATACAAGACATTTTCAACAAAATACAATGTCCTAATATCCCCTAGCTGGTCATGCTTAAGTTGCAATGATTACTTGCATACCTTGAAAGTTACCCCATCCTTTAGAGCCGAATGTTTAGGTTATCTATTTAACATAACCTCTTATATCACATAACCTGCTTTCAAGAATACACTCCAAGAATTATTATGTTGCAATTTTACGTTTATTAATAATTAATTACAATGAATAGTTTACCGACATAAGTATTTTATGTTTCCATATCTTTTGTCTTTTCTTAATCTAGGCTAAATTACCATTGCTTCTAAGCCGAATGAATGAAGTTGCCAAAGTGTTTCTTGTTACCAACAGTGACTACAAGTACACAGACGTGAGTTAATCAAAATATGAGACCTGAATAATCTGATTTCATTTAAGACCTGACAAAATCTGTTGGATTTTTATAAAGGATATACACTACCGGTCAAACGTTTGGTGTCAGTAGAATTATTACATGTTTTAAAATAAGCTTCTCCTGCTCACCAAGGCTGCATTTATTTAATCAAAAATACAGTACAAACTTTAAAATTGTGAAAAGTTATTGCACTATAAAATAACTGTTCAAAAGTAGTTTATGATTTAATAATTTACTCCAGTGATTTTAATGATGAATTTTCAGCTTCATTACGCCAGTCTTCAGAGTCACATGATCCTTGTAAAATCACTCTTATATTAATAATAATTATTGTTATTACCATTATTAATATTATAGTAATGGTAATCATAATAAATGACTGTAGCAATACTTTCATTTGAAAGTACATACAATAAAAAAGCAGTTATTTAACAATTTAATAAATATTAGCATTTTTTACAGTTAATAAATTTAACTGTAATACCTCTGTAACCGCCTTGAATAATTTTCTTAAAAAAATACAAGATGGAAAAAAATACTGACCCCAAACGTTTGACCGGTAGTGTACGTTAGATGCTTGCATATATTTGGTAAAACTTAAAGCTTCTGTGTGAAGTACATTTTAAATATATTTTAATGCATTATTATGCGTTGTAATACCTTTAAATGCATTGTATGTTGCTTTATTTATTATGTTTAGGTTTATTGTATTAAAACAACCCATTTTAAATGTAACGAGAACTGCATGTTACTATAATGTGGTTCGTTATTTGTGAAATATTTTTAAATACATTGAGAATATTTTCCTGAATTAGTTAGTTTTACATAAAGACATAAAAAAAAAAAAAAAAAAGTGTTCTAATCATTTCCTCTCTCTTTTTCAGAAAATTATGACATACTTGTTTGATTTTCCACATGGTCCAAAAGTAAGTAACCATTCTTCAGTAACATTGTTATTTTGTGTATATATATGTAAACAATTATACTGGTAGTGCCTGCATTTTTATTCGTCCCAGAACACCATTACAAATGTCAAATGAGAAAGGACAGCACACATTTTACATCAAATTTGTGTTGAAAACTTGAACCAGAAAACAAAGACAAACACCATTGTTAAGAGAAAGACCCTGAGGAATAATTTGTCATTTATGATGTATCTGTAACACCATCAGCTTTTTTTTATTTAGGAGCAAATATTTGGAAAAGAGATTAAAAAGAAAGATGAGGATTATCAGGGGCCATATAAGATCTTTTATATGTTGCAGGTTTATCACATTCACAGACATTGAAAGACTAAATCTAATATTTCTTTATTACAGTTGGGTTCTCCTCATCGACCCTGGCAGTCCTACTTTGATCTTATTCTGGTGGACGCCAGGAAGCCAATGTTTTTTGGGGAGGGCACAGTCTTGAGACAAGTGGACACGGTAAGATCTGCTTAGACTCACAAGAGTAACTTTCAGAAAAAAAAAAAATTTTATTGATTCACATTCAGCAATTTGTCTGTTCTGTAGACCACTGGGAGACTGAAGATTGGGACATATACAGGTCCCTTGCAGCATGGCATAGTATATTCTGGTGGTACGTGGTATATGCAGGTTTTTATTTATTTAATAATTGGTTACAATTCATACTGTTGACTACTGGCTTATTACCTGCCTATAATAAGATATTAACTGTTCTTTAACAGTTGCAAACCATGATCTTATTCTGCATTCCTAATCCTACCTTAACCCAACTTCTACCTTACTTACTATTAATAAACAGTTAGTTAGTAATTTATTAAGCTAGTAGTGTTAGTTAATGGTTTGTTAATACCGTAAGTTGTGACCTTAATTAAAGTGTTACCAATAATTGTCTGATCTGGCTGATAGAATTTGTTTTTCCACCTCAGGTTCATCAGACATAGTTTGTGATCTGCTGGGAGCAAAAGGAAAGGACATTCTGTACATTGGTGACCACATCTTTGGAGATATCCTGAAGTCTAAGAAGCGTCAGGGTTGGAGAACGTTCCTGGTGATTCCTGAGCTGGCTCAGGAGCTTCACGTTTGGACTGACAAGAGCAGTAAGTATTGAAAGTGTTGTGTCTTGGCAAACTTGGTAGACTGTCACTGATCAAAAGGCAAAATCTTCAAAAATGTTTTTTTATAAAGATTTTTTTGTGTGCAAAGAATGGGTCAGACATTGTGACAAAGACTGTAAAACTAGCTTCCCATTATATCTGTTTTCTCCAATCCTCAAGGTTACAGGCTAATCTTCTACATATCCCAAGATTGTAAATAGCATTTCATTGCTTCCTCACCCTTGAGCTTTGTGTACTTGGGTTGATTATTATGGTGACCCTCACAACATTCCTGAACCTGATGGCTTGACCTAAGAATATTGTTCACTAATCTCAAAAAAAAAAAAAAAAAAAAAAAAAAAAAAATATATATATATATATATATATATATATATATATATATATATATATATATATATATATATATATATATATATATATATATATTGGTATTGAAACAATGGTTTCCTATGGAAATACTTCTTTAAATTGCTTGAATGTAACACTGCACCGTTACTTACTGTATTATTTTCAAAGTCATGAATATGCTAATTATTCCCCCGCTTTCATTCAATGAATTAATGGATTAACAGTTATTGCTGTCAGTTACTGCAATTTTGAATGGATTGTAGCTCAGACACCGACTACGTTTACATGGACATTAGTGATCAAACTATTTGCCTTAATCTGAATCCGTCAATAATATGATTAAGGTGATTACATGAGTTCCTTTTTAAATGTTCCTTTCATGATCACGTTTTACATGTTATAGCACATAATTCGATTAACATCATTGCTTAACTGCGCTATCCACGTTTCATTCGCAGTTTCATATAAATTCCGGTGTTTCATTTTTATTTTATATGTATTTTCTGCAGTTTGGCACTTTCACTTTCATTAAGGAACATTTTATGCATGCCCCCCGTAACAAACGAGATATTGGATGTGAGTATTTACTGCTGGAAGAGTGTTGTTTGATACTGCATGCTTAATGGGTTAAAAAAAAACTCAGAATTTCCCAATGCAGGTGTTTGTGGTCCTTCACCTACTCTGTAGGTGCAGAAAATAGTGTCAAACAGCCATGTGTATATGGACTATCCTGTCACAAAATATGGCGAAAATTCTGCACAACGGTAATAGTTTGATTGTAGTGTTTACATATCTGTACTGGACTTCAATAATGCAACTAAAATCAGCATACGCCACATGTCCTAATTTCATTTCTGTTTAGTTCGATTATGACTTTAGTCGGATTAAGGTAATCAAAAAAATCGTTGTTTAAATGGTAGACTCTTAATCAGAGTATTGTCTTAATCAAATTATAATTGGATTATTGGTGTCCATGTAAATATACTCAGTGTTTGATGGGAGCTCTTACACTTCTTAGTTAATCACAATTTCACAAAGTTCCATTATAATACTGTGAGGCAGTGTCTAGGCTGTAGAATTGGCAAATGATTACAGAAACTTTATCAATATGATGGTGTAAAACTACATTTCTAATCTGTTACCACCTTGTGAAAATAAGCGCAGTTAGAAAAGCAAAATATAGAGTGGAGCATTGCTATTGTCTAGAAGTGTAATGCTAACGTGGTGTTCATTTCATCATTGAAATTAAGTGGAAAACATGTTCGTTGCCTATTGCTTGATATAAACAGAAACTTGAAAGGTAATCTGTGCTAGTAACATACAGTAATCAAAAACAATTGATGTGCACGCTCTGATCCACTTGTCTACTGAATTACCTGTGTAATTTATAGTTTTTTAATTATAGTGTTTATTGATGACTAAAAACACCAAAATAGTATTTAGTCAAAAAGATCAAATTCTAACTAACACATTATGTTATAACCTGCTGCATTGTGAAACTGAGTGTAGGCTTTCAGTCACTTTACAGGTGTAGAAGATTTGAAGTTTGTGTTTGTGTCTAGCCAAATTTTGTGGACGAAATTAATAATGATCAAAAATAGTTCACAGATTATTTGTAAATGAAATGTCTCAAAGACAATATTGTGTTATGGTTACGATTGGTTGCAAAATAGATGTGTGAAATAAAACATATGAAGTGATACAATGCATAATTATAACCAGCTTAAAAGTAGACCTGAGAGTACCCTGTTGAAAATGCCGGGTTTCTTAACTTAATTGTTTTTACAAGTTTAAGTGGATTTAACATAAAACAATTATGTTTTCCCAAAGCAAACCTTAAGAATTGTTTTGTTTCTACTTAATTTAAATAATTAGTTTGAACAAGCTGCAAAAGTAATTTTTTTGAGTGTAGAAGAGTGAGAGAAAGAAAGCAGGGACCAGAGAAAAAAAAGTAAGAATAAGAGCTAGAGAGGAGAGAGAGAGAGCAATAAAAAAAAGAATGCTCTTTTATCTTCTCATTTATCATGTCACCAAATCGGCAGTTTAAAGCTTCCCCAAGGTGTGACAACTTGCAAACCCCCAATGTAAACACATCTCATCCTGCAGGCCTTGATCTTATCAGCCTTTCTGTGCCTTTACAATTTCAAATCATCCATTTGGAAAGAAAAACTCGGTTTGCAATAAAAATAAATGCTTTTAAGCATTTTCAGCCTTTTTGTATATACAGTAGTGCTCTACAATACAATTAATCATATTATGTACACTGCATATACACTCACCGGCCACTTTATTAGGCAAACTTTTCTAGTACAGGGTTGGACCTGTACTTTGTCTTCAGAACTGCCTTGATCCTTTGTGGCATAGATTCAACAAGGTACTGAAAAGATTCCTCAAAGATTTTGGTTCATATTCACATCCATGATGCAAATCTCCCATTCCACCACATCCCAAACGTGCTCTATTGGATTGAGATATGATGACTGGGGAGGCCATTTGAGTACAGTGAACTCATTGTCATGTTCAAGAAATCAGTCTGAGATGATTCGCGCTTTATGACTTGCCGTGTTATCATGCTGGAAGCAGCCATCAGAAGATGGGTACACTGTGGTCATAAAGGGATGGACATGGTCAGCAACAATACTCCGCTGCACACCTCGGTTGTAACGAGTGTTTGTTTGAGTTACTGTTGCCTTTCTATCAGCCGAACCAGTCTGGTCATTCTTCTCTGATCTCTGGCATCAACAAGGCATTTGATTATTTTCTCTTTTTTCGGACCACTCTGTGTAAACCATAGACTGTAAAATATATGGACGTACTATCCGTGACGTCACCCATAGTTTTCTAAAGAGCGCAAAAGAAGCCACAAGTAGGCGCGGCCAACCGTCGCCATTTTGTTTGCGCGTCATCACACCCACGGCGGGATACCAAACAAGGGCAAAGAGGCGGAAAGTGAGTGGAGCTACAGACACCTGCTGACAGTTTGCTTGGACCTGGTTCAGACACACTTTACTTTGGGAGAAATGCTTAATACTTTATCACCTGTGACTCGTTTGAATTCTGACGATTTGTGCTTGGTTGTATACTATATCAATAAAGTGTTTAGACTTTTAAAAACACACTGCTGTAATACATTGAGCCACTAAACATTGTTCTTATGACGTTTTTCAACAGGAGGAAAACGCGAATTACTTCCAAACACTTCAGATATAGTCTGTGTTAGTTACTGTAAGACTATTGATGAAATCCAGCATAACACTGTATGATAACACTTTAGATGACTGTTCTAGAGCCCACAGCTAATCAATTCGTCAGATACTGGAGTACATTACAGCTTTAAATATAAAAATAAATGATAAATTATCTTAAATAAAACAAATACATGTATAGAGATGGTGTATAAGTATATAACTTTACTCACATGGGAAACGGAGGCCACGTGAATGGTTTGTGAGCACAATTAAGTGCACTCAGCATGCCATGCCATCTAATAATTATAGGAAACAAGTCCAAAACGCAGGTGACTGTGTAAAGCCACATAAAACAACACAGAAATACGATAAATAAGCCGAGTTCAGTGGCTAATCTGCAGGATTCAGCTGTGGTGACATGACGGCGACCAACGAGACCTAGCTGTCACTCAAGTGGCCACTCCCTTAATTATGCAAACTTAATATAACTCAATATAAAGGAAACGGATGAGTTATAAAAAAATTCACCCCCCTCACAGTTGTCATGAAGGGTAATATTAGCTGTATTAACCTAAATCTTTTTTTGTACCAGGCTGTAAACACCTTTTTTCTGCTGTAAAGTTGGCCATTCTAACAGTGGGCTCAATTGAAATTTGCTCTATTTTGGAGCCAAGAGCGGCCAGGACTAGCGGAATTTCGGATGAATTGCAGTTTTAGTTACTTCCGTATTGGCTTCCTGAGGGAGAGCGGGAGGTTGTCGCTTGGTGTAAACCCTAGAGATAGTTGTGCATGCAAATTTCAGTAGATCAGCAGTTTCTGAAATACTCAGACCAGCCTGTCTGGCACCAACAACCATGCCACGTTCAACGTTACTTAAATCACCTTTCTTTCCCATTCTGATGCTCAGTTTGAACAGCAGCAGACCGTCTTGACCATGTCTACATGCCTAAATGCATTGAGTTGCTGCCATGTGATTGGCTGTTTACAAATTTGCGTTAACGAGCAGTTGGACAGGTGTACCTAATTAAGTGGCCAGTGAGTGTATACATTTGACAACATTTAAAGTGGATCATCACCTTTCATAAAAGTTGTCCTAAACTGTTGAACAACACCCATTTTTGTCTTTGGAACATTTTGAAAAACATTTTGATTCACTTCAAATGTTGACTACTGTACATGATCAAATCTTGTTTGTCTTGTTAATAATAAGTATATTTTTAACAACACCAGACAGACATAAACAAATAGAAAAGATTTTCATTTTTATTTGTGTTATTTTCTTTAGGCACAGAAGTTCATGTCCATGAAACATAGACAGAGACAGTTCATCGTGTTCTCTTTTTTTTGCAGGCCTGTTTGAGGAACTACAGAGTCTGGATATTTTCCTGGCAGAGCTCTACAAGTAGGTATCATCTATGAACTCTCGCTCAGATGTTTGCTCTGCCAGCATGCAGTGCCAGTTCATGCTCACAGTCATGCACTCGTGTACCCGGAGAAGGACACGTCGCTCCCTCTCTGCCGTCCACAGCCATTTGACATCCAGATAAAGGGGTGCACATTCTTTTCTATTTTAAGACTGACGGTTCAAGGCTTGTGTTACATTTAACTCTTTCATTACTGTTCGAGTACCAAACACACAATTCTGTTTTTGGCTTGGTTATTTTTATCTACATTTGTATTTTTTTGCCAACAGGCATTTGGACAGCAGCAGCAATGAGAGACCTGATATTAGCTCTCTTCAGAGGAGGATCAAGGTATTTTTATTGGTTCTAAGGAAAGCAGTACACCTTGCACTGAGAATCATGTCACGTAAATGTAGTCAATAAAAGAAAAAAACACATGTAAAGGGCAGGATAAAACCCTTCAGCTGTAAAATAAATTCTTAATAACTACTTTATAGAGTGAACGTAGGCATCAATCAATGTTGGATGGAGAAGTATAATTAAGCCATTTTAATTGGCAACTTTTTTAGAAACCAAATTTAAATTTGAAAGAACTTTAGTAAGTCCTGTATATAATGATGCGTATAATATTCTAACGTTGAGCAGTAAGTGAAACTCTTTAAATTTTTCTCTTTTGTCTATCAAGACTGTTTTTTTTATATAAAATGATAGTGAATAGGTCATTATATTGTGAAAATGTACAGTTTGAAGTCTATTTTTACAGTTTAAAGTTTAAAGTCGATTTTCTATTTTAAAGTCTACATTTGTCTATTTTAATCATTTAAAAATGCTTTTTAATTCTATGATAGCAAAACAGAATTCTCAGTATTCTATAAAGTTCTGATAAGAATGAGCTATTTCTCAGATCATGATACTTGGTTCAAATGACAAATTGTTTCCATGTGCTGTGATTGAACATCAGGGTTATTTTTTTATAAGATATTAATTTATAAACCCTTATGAACATGTCTGACAACGAGTTGTTTTGTGCATAAAATTTAGATGATGACAATTTTATTTTAAATTTTCAATACATTTATTAGATTTTTATAGAAAGTCCAAAAGAACAGCACTTATTTAAAATATCATTGTTAGAATCTTTGCAAACAATTAAATGAAAATAAAAAAATTACTGTAACTTTTAAACAATTTAATGCCTAGTTGTAAAACAATGAGAGAAATAAGTCTGACTCTCCCCAAACTGTTGACCATATTAGTTTCAGTCCAGAGGAGAGGAATGATTTTAATCAAACTCCGTATCATGTTGGCACCAATGGCCTAGTGCAGGGGTGTCCAAACTCAGTCCTGGAGGGCCGTTGTACTGCATAGTTTAGCTTCCTTCAACATGCCATAGAAGTTTCTAGACTACCCAGAAAGAGCTTGATTAGCTGGTTCAGGTGTGTTTAATTGGGGTTGAACCTAAATGGCCTAGTGGTTAGTGTGTCAACACATAATGCTCACGCCAATCCAAGTTAAATTTCCAGTGCGATGTCATTTGCTGATTCTTTCCTTCTCTCTGCTTCCCACACGTTTCTCTCTGTAATTCTCCACTGTCTTATCATAATAAAGTATAAAAGAACTACAAATGTATAAATTAAAAAACAGCTGTTTCTGTATCTCTCCAATTTGCTCAGAAAGTGACCCATGACATGGACATGTGCTATGGCATGATGGGAAGTCTGTTCCGCAGCGGCTCTCGCCAGACACTCTTTGCATCTCAAGTGATGCGTTACGCTGACCTGTATGCGGCGTCCTTCATCAATCTCCTATATTACCCATTTAGCTACCTGTTCAGAGCTGCGCACGTCCTGGTAAGTAAGCTCAACAAAAATGTAAGTGTTTTCAAGCAGTACTAACAAACAGATGTTTTGGGATGTGGCCATAGCTGACGTTCTGCTCTTTTAATGTTTTACTTACTCACTTGAGTGAATTTTTCAGGTTGTAAGGTATTCATTCCAGGATCAATGTGCATTCACAGAAGGGATCAAATTTTAATTTAGTATTTGCAAGAAAGAAACACTTTGACACTTACAGCGCATTAACAATATAGCCATAAAAACACAGCGTTTTAAAGGCTTTTTCACACCAAGCTGACAACAAACAACTAGTGTCGACAAACCCAACTGTGTTGTTGCCTCTTGTTGGCTTACGTCTGGTCCAAAAAGTTGCCTGTAAACACTTAAAGTGGACAAAAGTCAACTGAAACAATAAAATGCATTCTGCGCCTGCGTAGGAAGATGTGTCTTTCTGCGCCTGTGTTTACTCATTTACAACTACTGATGCGCACATGCAAAACGTAATTGTCACTCACTAAGGAGGGATTCGCTCTTGCAAATATTTTTGATAATCCAATAATCCATATTGTTTGCAAATATTTGAGAAATGTAGCTAAATTACAGATGGCCTGTATGTGTGTTATTTCTTGATTTTAATTTTTTACTTGCTACGTCACTTCACTTCATCACACTCGCACTCTGATTCATTCCTGTATAACCAGTCAGAGCACTCTATTCAGCCGATGACCACAGCTGATTCTACATGCTAAGGTAACGTGTGGAACACACCAAACCAACTAGCCAGACCAGCAGACCAATGAAGCCCAACTGCTGACCGTCGGCTTGGAGTGTCCTAGTCTTAAAAGAAACCACTTTGAGCTGAGTTGACTTTATTGGTACCCGTAGGTAGATTCTTTTTGCAGCAACGTTTGGCATTTGATACAAACAATTAAATCACACGTTTCAAGGGCCAAGGGGTAGAGGTAAAATAATAGAATTGGGATTGGGCCTTTATCTCAACCACTCTAACTGGCTGAGCTGTGATGTAAACAAAACAATTGTGACTATTACGGCCCATGTCTAGGGGAAAACAACATGGGCATAATAAAAGGGAAAAACAAATGTATTGGGGTGGTGGATTTCCCAATCAAAACAAAAACTTAATACAAAAGATCCCCTTCGGTCGACAACCAAACTCGGACACTAAGTTGAGAGTAATTGAATAGATTTATTATAGAAAAAAGCAATAAATTTAAATGAGCATCTCTTCAGGGGGGCCACTGGCCAAAATAACAAACGGAAGAATCTATAAAGTAAATGCACTAAATTACCTATATCTATTTAAAAAAAAAATACAGGAAGCCTACCTTTCTCCTTAAACAAACATAGTCAAAAGTAATCCAATAAATATCCAGGCCACCCCTACAAGCACAAACTCTCAAAAATAAGTTAAACATATGAACAATGGTAACAAGTTTGAATGTTGGTCGTCGGCTGGAGGGGTATAATGAAAATCCTGGAGCTCCACTCCTAGCAACGATCACTGCACAAATGAGCTTTCCGAACCCTGCCGGAAGCCTTTTTTTAATACAGGCCTCCGAGACCAGCAGCCAATCAGAACTCGAGATCACGCCGAAATGGGAGCCTATGGGATAACAAAAAAAAAAAAACAGCTAGAAGGCGGGACAAAGAAAGAGACACATGCGATACGCAATAAAACTTTAGTAAGTCGTAACAGTGACCTTATTCTTCATGTAAAAGCGAGTGCTACCATTGAAACATTATTGGCTTGAGACTTCAGGTCATTGACTTTCATTTATTTTCAGCTGTAAAAAAAGGCTTGTTATGCTGCTTGATGGTGCTAACTGATATTTTCTAATTATATTATTGTTGATTTCATGTATGGTCCTTGATACAATTGTTTGTAGAGCAAGTTATTTGACTATTTCTACAATTTATTATTCCAAGTCACTTTTGCTATTGACAACTTAATCAGTGGTTCTAAAACAATCGCAAAAACAAATAAGGATCAAATGCTGTTTTTTAAGGGGGAGGGGCTACACAATATACTCCGCCCAATCTTCATGTTTTAGTTGAAATTACTCTAAAAAGGTAATGATTCGCACTCATCAAGTAATTGCTTCTTACTGTTTTTATTTTTACATTCTTCAGGGGATTCAAAATCACAAACGTGTTTCATTCATTACCTTTTCGAATAATAGCATTTTCAAGATTGACGCACCAAAGAAGTTTCTTTAAAAACCGCGAGTGTGCAGAGCAAACTTCACTACTCTATCAGTTGAAATTACGTCACACATTTGTACACTACAGGGGAACTTAACTGACCCATTTTTGTCTGTGGCTTGGTTTACAAATAGATGCCTCACGAGTCTACTGTGGAGCACACTCATGTGGACATCAATGACACAGAGTCCCCCATGGCCACCCGCAACCGGCACGCCATTGACTTTAGAGAGCACGAGTGCAAGAGACACCAGCTGACCCGCTCCATCAGCGAAATCAACCCTCCACACCTCTTCCCTCAGACGCCTCAGGAGATCACACACTGCCACGATGAGGATGATGACGAGGAGGAGGAGGAAGAAGAGGAATAAGCACACGACTGCTGATATTACATCTGATATGCATCTACTGTAAACAAGTATGATCCCTGCATTCACACACAGCCATATATTTTGTAAAGCTGCAAAGAGAGGATGTTTATTTCTTGGGAAATATATTTTAGAGTTCAAAGTTTGATGAGAGGATGAAGCTAAAATGTTTAGCTTCCTATTTTTGAATGAGGTCCACTCAGAAACGACAACAGATCTGTGAATTATTTGCATGATGTTGAGGAAACATTACGAGTTACGAGGTACATAGCTGACTTAAGTAAATAGCATGAATACTTCTTTTTTGGCTCTGTGATGTATGTAGATCGCTTTCAAACTCCAGAGAGGAGCAGTATAGCATGCTGGGAAATGACACCAACAGTACAGCTTGCTTGTTATCCGTTTGACTGCCTGTTCAAGCGATGTAACATCGCCATCTACTTTTCAAAACTAGTAGTACGTAAATTTCTGTCATTATTATTATTTTTTTTCTGAGGAAAAATGCAACTTTTTAGGGTACTAGAAAAGGTTTGAGTGTCTTATGCACTCGCCCTGATCACTGTGTTAATATTAGACTGAGAATCTAGAGCTTAGATTTATTGCCTACTATTTTTATATCCACTGACCTACAGTTACTGCAGCTAGATATGTTTAAACACATCCTTTTTGTTGTTGTTTATATTAGCATAATGGTTAAGTTTCTGGCAGAGGACTGTCATTTAGGAAAAAAAAAGCTGGTCGAAAGAATTGTGGGAACCAGTGGATCGACATCCATTGAACACGCGGTTATTATGAATATTTGTATCTCATTTATACAGTCCTGATTCTGAAATCTTTGTTTTTGGCTGACATGGTGCTGTTTAGCATCAGAATCTTTTTTGATGTTTTTGTTTTAAACTGAAGGGAATTTATGATGGGTCTATGTTGGTTTGATATACTGTACTGCTTCATTTTAAACAGTATTTGGACAGAACCCCTGGATTATTTCAATCCGAGTCATTTTGCCAATGTAATATGTGGATTTGTTTATTCAACCAAGGACTGTTATCGCTGTCCCTCTTTTAAATTCACAGATGCTGTTGATTTATTGATTTTGTGTAATGTATTTTTAAAAATCCTTTTCAATGTTTATTTAGGCTTTTCTAAGTCTGCTGTTGGATATGTGTGATTCATCTGTATTTTTATTGTTTTGAAATCTCTGTATTTTAGTTTGAGCCCTGTTTTAAAACCATTTCCTTACTGTTTTTCATGAATGTGTTTGGATTTATTTGAGTGTTTGTAGAATTTACAGCCACTGTCATGACAGACTGTTGTGGGAGGATCAGATTATACTGTATTTTTAGTGTAGAATTAAATCAGTCTGCTTTCAAATGTGTTGTCATTAAATGTTTTTGTTTGGCATTGTTGAGTTGGTTTTCGGTGCTGTAGGTTGTTGCATATGAAGAGAATAAAGTTTCTGTCATGCAGCTCCACCTTGTGGTCATTCAGCAATAACGAGGGTATTTTACAATTTTAAAAGATTAAACTGGTCTTTGTATTGTGCTTATCATCAAGAGTAGATGATTAAGGATTAAACAGACATTTTGACAATGTTAATGCTTTATTAAAATTATAAACAATATTTAAAGGGCACCTATGCTGAAAATCAACTTTTGTAAGATGTTTGGACAGTACTGTCTGTATGTATAATGTGTCCACTGTCAAACTGGAGTGAAATACACCCAACCAGTCTCTTTTTTTTAATTTCCTGACGTTAAAATTGTACAGAAATCCCAGTGTTTTTGAGGGCCTCCACGGCGTGATTTAGGACTGTGGTTTTCCCGTCCACCAATTGATTGACAGGCACCATGTCTCCATAATTACATGTATAAACGTCCACAGAACAGTGTTTTTTTTTTTTTTTGCAAAAAAAACATTAAAATATCCAACTCTTTGTGATTTTATAAGTTTAAAACGTTTTAAAAACAATGAATGTTTGTAATAAAGACATTAAAATCATTATGTAATTCTTAACCGCTTTAATCATCAAGGCCGCATGGTGTCAGAACGCGCTTGTATATGTGTGGGAGTGTGTACTGCAAACGGCGTTTGTGTATGACTCATTGTTTCAGAAAGGCTTGGATAAACTCCATCACAAATACATGAAGTAAACAGGTCAGTGAAGATAGCAACAGATTTGTATTTTTCTGATCAATAACTCATGACCCAAAACATAGTTCCTACACAAAATAGCACCTCTTTTCAACCATCCTAATGTATACAATCAACTGCAGTCTTATTATCATAAAACTAGCTTTCCTACATGCAGGACCTCTCTTAATCTCTATGTGCAAACAGCAAAAAGACGGATCATTTGTACACTTATTTGTAGTGTTGCATGACTTAAAAGCGCAGTGGGTGTTTGTCTTCAGAAGCAGTTTTTGTTGTGCTGGTTGAAAGTCTATTCACAGTCTAATAGTACAACAAAACACAAGTAAACAGCGCTATTCCACCTAGTCTCTCCCTATATTGTTTACCATGCAACTCTAAATATTCACTCTGAAATAGCATGTCAGTTTGGCTTGCACCCCTGCGGACAAGCACTAGTCGCTTTTACACATGAGAGAGGGTTCTTTTGCTGTTCTAGGAGGCGTGGCTCTAGACGGCAGGGGAGGGACTGTGATTCAGAGATGTATGCTAAGCTGTTAGCATTGTGAAATCACCTACTGCACCTTTAAGGGGGCCACATATATATATATATGTGTGTGTGTGTGTGTGTGTGTGTGTGTGTGTGTGTGTGTGTGTGTGTGTGTATAGTTGAAACCAGAAGTTTACATACATTCTAAAAAAAGGAACAAAGATCATACTACTTTACTATTTTTAGGTCCATTAGGATTACCGTACCTAAATGATTTACATTTGCTACATACCAGAGTAATGAAATTTTTTATTAATTTCTAGACAGTCAAAAGTTTACATCCATTTCCTTGGTGTTTTTTTTTTTTTTTTTAACTTTGCTTTTAAACTGTTTAACTTTGCTCAAATGTTTTGGGTATCCTTCCACAAGCTTCTCACAATAGTTTGAAGAAATTTTGGCCCATTCCTCCTGACAGAATTGGTGTAACCGGGTGAGATTTGTTGTCTGTCTTGCTCGCACAAGCTTTTTTAACTCTGCCCACAAATTTTCTATAGGATTGAGATAAGGGCTTTGTGATGGCCACTCCAAAACATTCACTCTGTTGTCCTTAAAGCACATTTTAACTAATTTGGCAGTATGCTTCAGGTCATGGTCTGTTTGGAAGAGCCATTTGTGGCCAAGTTTTAATTTCCTGGCTGATATCTCGAGATGTTGCTTCAGTATTTCTACATGATGTTCTTTCTTCATGATGGCATCTATGCTATGAAGTGAAACAGTCCTTTCTGCAGCAAAACAGCCCCACAACATGATGCTGCCGCCAGATACTTCACAGTTGAGATGGTGTTCCTAGGCTTGTAAGCTTTCCTCTCTTTTCTCCAAATGTAACGCTGGTCATTATGGCCAAACAGTTCAATCTTAGTTCCATTAGACCACAGGCCATGTCTCCAAAAATTATTATTTTCCCAGTGCAATTTAGCTAATTGTAATCAGGCTTTTTGTTGATTCTGGCTTGATTTTCCCATGTTGTCACAAAAGGAAGCAGTGTGTTTGAGGTTTTCCTTAAATACTAGTTTACAGTTTACCTCCAATTAACTCAAATGTTGTCAATTAGCCAATCAGAAACTTCCAAAACCTTGACACTTCATCATCTGAGCTTTTTCAGAGGCACAATAATCTTATTGAATGTAAACTTGACTTTCAAGAAAAGTTATAACAATTTCTCAAATCTCTTTTATTCTGCTATTAAGCATAACAGAAACATCAACAGAAACTTTATAATCCTAACTTGCTTAAAAGAGAAAAAGTTTAGTCACATTTGACCTTTTTAAAACGATTATGTGCCTTTCTTTACAGTCTATGTTAACTTCTGTTTTTGTGTGTGTGTGTGTGTGTGTGTGTGGAGAGAGAGAGAGATAGACCACAAAATAAAACCCATCCAGTCAAAGTTGTCAAACAGTTTTAATATAGCAATTTCCATCTGCATCATAGATATATAATAATGTATATTTAATCTGATATAGCATTGTCTGGTTTGTTGTATGTAAGCATACAATAGTACTCTCTGATTTATGACTGTACAGTATCTCTACACATTCAAGATTGAAAATAGCAGCAGTGTATGACAGACTCAAACCGCATGTTAGAGCACCACATTTTTAAAGACGTCTCCCCTTTTCTAAGGCAGGCGATCCAACATGAAAACGCTGATCTGATCTGTAGGACATCACCGAATGCTGAAGTGAAATGACTTTAACACAGTGTGAAAAACTGAAACACGCAATCAACGACAAGAACAGGAATGCTGCTGACCGAAACTTTTGTTAATGTTTAAAAAACAATCCCTACACTTCACATCTCAAGCAAGGCATTTTAAATTGTAGTTAAATTAGTCTAACAAACATACTCTACCTCTCAGCCTCTTATTAAGTTTGGCTAGTTTACTTGTTCGGATATTTCGTTCTACCTGTGAGCACATTAATTGGTCATGATTGTCCCTGCATAGCTGTTGCACTATTGCACTGAGAGGTTGCTACATAAACACTTGAGACGTGAATGTCCTGATATCCAGCGGCGTTTACGTTACTGACTGAAGCGCCATAGGAGGTTCTGAAAAAAAAAAAAAACAAACAAAATGGTCAGCGGATAAAAACATCAGCCAGAGAATCGTTCCCCTTTTGTATTAGGAGTGCTAATGTAATCTTGGCGTGATAAACCCAAAATAAATATATTATTATTTTCCTTTTTCATTTTAAAATCTAGAAATCTTTACATGTAGCTCTTTTAACCAAAACACTGGGTCTCATTCACTAGGGAACCTATGAATTCACAAGTGTACGCACATTAATTTGTCATAACTGAATTTCCTGTGTTAGTAATGTGCATTAAATATGACCTCCACATTCCCTGATCCAAGTGGGCACCTTGATGTCAAAACGACGTCAAAATGCAAATCCATTTGATGCCATTTGGCTATATTGCTGTATTGACACAATGTGCGCTTTCTGTAATTTACAAAGTGAAACTGTACATTTATTTTGGTTCTGTACCTACACAAAAGTATTATGGAGTTTCTTTAGCACATTTGTGATTGACTCTATTGATTACAATTTTTCTTTGTTTTGGGAAAATGTGTTATTTGATTTTATTGATTCAGACAATAATAGTGAAAAAACGATCTACTTCATAAATCTTTTACTTTTACTTGCTAAATACCACATCCATAAAGCAAATTCTCCAATAATAAACCACTTTTTTAAAGGTATTCATAAAAGAATAGAAACGATATTTTCAAGCACTCTGGTTAAGGAAACACTAAGGCTAGGACAACATTACCTTGTCATGCCCTATTTGAAATTCCCCTGCAACAACATTTTGAATTACTTGCACTCTTAATATTTAATTTTTATTTTAAGCTTTACTTTATATATATATTTTTGTTTAACTTAATGTTTTTTATTTTTATTTGATGAATATTGTGCTGGTAACTTATAATTATTATTTTTTATTTATTTCAACTTTTTTTCCTGCTTTATCCCCGTGGCTTCCTCCATGTTCCTTCTATAGTTCACAATGTTTTGTTATGTTGTAATAAATACTGACCATTTACTGGTAAATAAATTTTAAAATTGTCTATACTGCTGTAAAAACAACATCAAAGTGACATGTATAATAGGCGTAAAAAACATAAAAAAACCACTTGACATTGATTTTTGAATAAACTGACATGTAATATTGGTAAAATAATACGTAAAAAAGTATTAGAGTCCTGCAATCGATTTTGGATGCGTTTTGACATGAATCTTAGATGCTAATTTGATGTAGTTTATCGTCTACTTGCGACAAACTACATCAAATTAAGTTGTTTACATGCAATGTAGGTATACAAACTCAATGTAAATTTGTCATTTGAAATTGAAGCTTTTAAATGAATAAAACATGTCTTATAATACTGCTTGTTTTATTATTTTGGTGGTCAAAAGGGCATCAGTGTGCAGAAATCCAATGGACATGAACGTTTTGACATCAATTGTTTGCGTTATAGATTTTTTTTTTTTTTAAAGATGACAGCTAAGATAAAACATATATATTTTTCTCAGTATGGAAGGCAATCGGGGACAGAAGTCTTAAAACTTAAACTTCCAGATAATCATGTTAAGGCAGCCATTTCGAACCTGTCTCTTTATATGCTTAAATACTGTTTGAGCATGCCGTTTTTTTGGAAGGTGATAAAATGTTTTATATTTGCGATTGTACATTTGCATATGATATTTACAAAACGAAGTTGGCATACTTATGAAACCAAAATACCATTTAATCCCAACCACAACAGCGAATGAAATGGCGGTATTTAAGACTATATATCCATATGCGACATGATTGTACATTGGGATATATGAATTAAAAATCATCAACTTAAAACTGAATATTTGTACCCAAGAAATGTTCAAAATTACCAAATTTACATGGTCACTGAATTTTACTTAGGAATGTATAATAAAGAAAAGTTTTTGGTGAATAAATTTAGGGTATATGCACAGCTAGTGTTTCTTCCCATTACCAATAAACTTCAGGTGAACAGTTAATGTGACTTTTTTAATTTGACAAGTTTCCTTTTACAGCAGCGATGTTGTAATGTAATTAAAATACAATCAGTTAAATAGAATTCAGCATTCATTTAGCTGCTCAAGCATAAAACGAGATGAAAAGCCGTTTACACGTACAAGCCGTCATGATCAGCAGGCTAGCGCAGAAACTCTATTGAAAATACTGGGGTAACATCAATGTTCATATTTTCAAGACATGGCAGGGGAAATGAAATTTAATGCAGTGCTTTTGGTACATTCTGAGACCCCTTTTATATTGTACATCTATCTTTCTTATAAATAAATTTTTTAAGAAAACAGACCTTAAACGTGTCAATTTTGTAACGGCATACAGTTCACCGGAAGCATTTGGTAACTGAAAAATGAAAAGTCCTTCAGCAAACTTCTGCATTTACCCTATTATCGGTGTATGTTCATGGACAAATTTGTGTGCGCACACTTAGTGAATAAGACCCATGAAGACCCTACACAAATACACTTTTTTTCTAAAAATCCTAAACAATAAGATATAAGAGCAAATAAGGAATCTGAAGATGAGATATAAGTTACGGTGTAAGTTCCTGAAACAGTCCTCAACATGTTTCTTTGAGGTTCTTAATGCAGCTAACAACTATCTATAGAAAGGTAGTTGTGACGTACAAAATGCTTCTTTTAAAAATGAAGTTACATGATTACAACTAAAAAATGTAAAATGTATCGTTAATAAAGAGTGGTCCGACATACATAAAAATGGAACCAGTCATGACACGAATACTCTAATCACCTTAAAATAGGTGACGCTGTACCTCAGCACAATCAGGATTGACATAAAAAAATCTCTCTCTATATATATATATATAGTTGAAAAAGGCCCTCATATGTAAACACATTTGATTTCTTTGTACTGCGATCGCTGCACGTTGCACATCTGGACAGAAGAAATCTCTGAAATCCATGTTGGTGTTATTTGGCACAGTTCAGACAAACGCTTTTTCGCCAGCTTATGCGTTTCCTGTCCAAGGCTGCGGTTTCATTTGTTTTCTTTTGACCCAATATTATTTGCCAAATGTCTTTGGTCATGAGGTCTCCAGTTTCAAGAAAAATAAAACATGGTTACTTATCTCCATCACCTGATCTTTCATCTGTGGCTGCATCTGCTCAGGCGTCCTGGGTGGAATGGAAGATTTTAGAGAGCTCTGTGTGGCCCTCGTTGTTAAAAGTAATCAAGCGCTGTCTAAAGGCACCATTATTTCTTTGTCCTTCTGTTATGGTCGTGTCTGCTCAAGGTGTGGCGTGGGTCGTCTCCTTGCTCCTTCGTAGTGTGTATTTCAAGTGTGTCCTTCCTCGATCGAGTGAGCGAGAATGATTTGGTGGTCCCTGACTGATCCGCTGCCTACAAAAGGTGTTAAGGTCATTAGTGCATGCATTGTGGGATGTGTGGCCCTTCACGCTGTACGTTCCCCTTTGAATTGGAGCGTGATGAGAGGACTCGTATGAAGCTGCCCAGTGCCTCTCACTCACTCTGTGGAAAGAGGCATCTCTCTCTCTCTTTCGCAGAGGGTGCTTAAACTACCCCGTCGTTGTGGGCAGTGTGGTTGGGTTTGTGTGAGTTGGTGGTCAAAAGTGTGGCCGATTCTTCCAATGGTCCGTCCTGGTGCTCGGTGAAGGTCAGTTCGATCTTGGTGAACTCACTGTCTGTGGATTGAGGTGTTTTGTCCATGCGAGATGCCATCAGGGCATTCTGGTATTGCTGGCGGGTCACCTGAAAAATGGAGATTTAGAATCAATCAGCCGTTTTGGACATTTTAGTGCTTTTAAAAGGTTAACTTTCTTCTTGCTTTAAACACTTTTTTGGAAAGTGGAGCTTTGATAATTTTCTCACTTAAAGCTTGACTCTACACTGGGTACTATGACCAACAGAAGAGTCAGGCTTGAAATAGCAAACTGACCAAAACTTTTTTTGAAATTTTTGAGCAAGATGCTAATGTTTTAATCCGATTCAATGATTTATGAGTCATGAGTATGAGTGTTTCTTTAAGTATTTCTGCTCATTTATACTGCAAAATGTTTAAATGATCTGCACTAAAAAATAATAAAAGTACTATCTGGACCGAAATTAAAAATCCTAGATAACCCTGGCTTTGTATACAAAATGTAAAAAAATAAATAAAAACGTGACATTTCAGACCCCTTCAAGCAGGGACAACTACAATGCTAAAAATATATACTGATAACATTTATAAAGATTTTTGTAACTTTGTTTAAAAAAAAATAGCACACCCTACAATAAGCATCTCGTCCTTTTCTTCATATTTATTTTGCTAGTTTTCCTCACTGTCTATAAATACAAGAATCGTCTTCAAGGCATTGTTAATTTGTGCTTAAATTTTAGGAGTCTTGTGAAGTCTTGCATCCTATTATAAACAGCAAGTGTTGAGGAAAGCACATAAAGTATTAGGAGACAGCACACACGCCTTAAACAAATATTTTGAGCAGATGCCCCTTGGATGATGTTTAGGGACAATAAAATCGTTATGAATTTACTTTTGTGAATGAAGCAATTCGGTTACTTAATAAATGTAGTTAATCAATGGATTGTTCAATCATTCATTCGTTTTCTTTTCAGCTTAGTCCCTTTATTATTCCGGAGTCGCCACGGTGGAATGAACCGCCAACTCATCCTGCATATGTTTTACGCAGCGGATGCCCTTCCAGCCGCAACCCATCTCTGGGAAACATCCATACACACTCATTCACACTCATACACTATAGGCAATTTAGCTTCCTCAATTCAACCTGTACCGCATGTCTTTGGACTGTGGGGGAAACCGAAGCACCCAGAGGAAACCCACGCGAACGCAGGGAGAACATGGCACAGAAATGCCAACTGACCCAGAAAGGGCTTGAACCAGCGACCTTCTTGCTGTGAGGCGATTGTGCTACCCACTGCCCACCGTGACACCACTATTATTTATTATTTAATTTATTATTACGGTTATATTTAAATAGTTATTTTGGTGTGTACCTGATGTTAAGTGTTGGTGTTTATTGTGTTGTGTGTGTCATTCTTGTTATATGTGAACAACCACCATGTCAGAATGAATTGCCCTAAGTGGAAACTATTGGCTAAGCAACAATAAATAGACCGGCAGCCCTTCAGAATGTATACTGCTTTAAAGAGGTGAAGAACGTAAAGTGTTTAATCAGCAGCGTGATGTGATTTCTCATTATCTGTACAGTTACTGTTTTTGGTACAAACATTCCTTTAGGCACAAAAGTACATGGTCGTGTAATTTATGACACACTAAGATGACATTCTAGACCTGAGGCACATTCAGCCTTTCAAAGAAACAGTATGAGTTCAGGGGTTGAAGAGATTTTCTTAGGAACAATCTTATCTGTTTTTTTATTTTTCAGTAAAGACAAACTAAAAAAGAATTCAAATTCTTGAAATTAATGTTAAATGTGTTCAAAATGTCATTAAAAAAATCTTAATTTAACGTCTAAATAGTTGTAGATTTCTAACAAAATTATATATTTTAAAACATTAAATAAAACATAGTTATAAAACTATATGACATAAAACGGGCGACGTGGTGGCGCAGTGGGTAGCAGGTTGCCTCACAGCAAAAAGGTCTCTGGTTCAACCATCGGCTGGGTCAGTTGGCATTTCTGTGTGGAGTTTGCATGTTCTCCCTGTGTTCGCGTGAGTCTCCTCTGGGTGCTCCAGTTTCCCCCACAAGTCCAAAGCTGCATAAAACATATGCTGGATAAGTTGGCAGTTCATTCCGTGGTGGTGACCCCAGATTAATAAAGGGACTAAACCAAAAAGAAAACTAATAAATGTATGATATAAAACTGGAACTGCTAAAATATCTGAAATATTTAAACATATCAAACTTGTCTTATTAGATGTTTGTGTTTTAGATAAAAATGTTACAGACTGTAGACAGGGAGAATGAGCCAGAAAGACCTACAGACATCTTGCCAAATGAAGTCTATCATTTCCTGCCAGTTAATTATCTTATAATGGTTTATGTTGTTAAATGAGCACATCTCACACGCTTCCAGATCCATTCAAAAACTTGACCAGGATGTGATTGGTGCTTTAAAACAGAATACAATAATAACAAAAACAATCTAATGATATTGAATTAGTTGTAGCTAAACTTTCATTTTATTCATATGAAAATAATATCGTCACCTTGGAATTCTAAGGTTCTCTCTGCGTTCTGAATGATTTTGAGAGATTGAGCTTCAAAGTAGTTGCATTCCATAGCAAACAGTATGTGTGTAACATTTGTTTTTTTAAATAAAAAGTCTTAAAATGTAAACAAATTATAAAAAACATCTCAATGTAAATAAGTTGTGATTTAATAAGAATATGTCAATAACTGTCAGATAGAACCTTTAAATTCTAAGGTGTCGATATGACATTCTTAAAAGGACGGTTTACACTAGAATGAAGTTTACTCTGCATTTGCTCACCCACAAGTGGTTACAGACATTTCTGAGTTACTTTTATGTGTTGAACCTAAAAGTAGATATTCTGAAGCTTGTTAGAAACCAGTAGTCTAAGCTATGTTTTAATCCACCTATTTTTATGCACATTTTGGATATGCGCTAAAAAAATGCCAATATGCGCACAAATTTTGAAAATGTGCATATGTGCATAACTGAGTAGTAAACACTTACCGAACAAATTCCAGTATGCGCATTAAAAAAATGTCACGTTATTTTGTTATAAGCGATCATGTGCTGATCAAAATGTGTGTGAATGAACAAACCAGCAGGCTGAGCACATTGTATAACATCTGAAATGCTGTTTTGGCCAGTAATAGTATTATTATATTATTCATTTCCTCTAAAATTGCCAAAAGTGTCAGACATTCTTTTTTTTTTTCCATTTTTACTTTTGATATTTGGCGCCAGTTAATCAGGAAGTAACGGTTTTGCTTTTTTGACTACTTAGATGGAAACACAGCTTTATTTGCATGTCTTTTATGTGATATTCCAGTAATGTGCATATATTTATTTCGCATCTTTGGATGGAAACATACATCCATAGTGGATAAAACAAAATCCAAGGCAGTCAATGGCTACAGTTTTCAAACATTCTTCAAAATATCTTTTGTATTCAACAGAAGAATGAAACTCAAAGGCTTCAAACAAGTGGAGGTTAGGTAAATGAGGATCTTCATTGTTGGTTAAGTGATCCCTTTATAAACAAGGTGTTTTCTTAAAGAAATGCACTTAAAAGGTGTACAAAACAAGTTTTTGCATTTGAAAGCCTTAAAACTTGACATCTCTGGTTTTTAAATATTGCTTTGTGCATCTTTAAGAAAACGCTAACAAACTTCTCAAAATTTAGCATATTGTAAATATTAGTGTACCTATGACATTTTTAAAGAGATAGATTACCCAAAAATAAAAAAATGTCCTCACTATTTACTTTATTTTTACTTTATTTTATTAATAAACCTTTAGGAGTTTCTTTTTCTGTTGAACAAAAAAAGAAAGATATTTTGAAGAATGCTGGAAACCTCTAACTTTTGACATTCATAGTATGAAAAACAAATACTATGAAAGTCAATGGTTGCAGGTTTCCTGCATTCTTCAAACTATTTCCCACCATGTTCAACAGATGAAAGAAACTTAAACAGGTTTGAAACAAGTAAAAGGTGAGTAAATTATGGCAGAATGTGTATATTTTGGGGGAACTATCCCTTTAAGAAAGACATATTTTAGGAAGATTTTTTTAACTCATGCCTAGATGTGCAAACTGAACCATGAGCAGCATTCAGACCTTGATGTAGAGCAGGTCAGAGACAGCTCTCACTGAATAGTCCGGCACATAGACCTGCAGGAAGGAGTTGAGCTGGTTGTTGCTGCTGCCCAGTGTTGGAGTCACGGCCTCCATTCGGTCGCTCCTGTTCAGGGAATCTGAGTGGTTAAGCCCGAACGGCCTTGGAGGTGACTTATTTTCTGTGTAGCAAATAAAGGGTGACATGCAGGTCAGTGGCTGCTGTGACAATAAGCAAAGTGTCATTAATCAATAAACAAATCTTAATGTTGCTCGTCTTTGATGTCGCATTCATTCTTCCATTCCATTTTGGATGCCCTCTCAGTCTTTCTTGAACCGTGCTGTGGAATGCTGGTGTGTTTAGACACCACAGTTGTGGTTAATTCAATCCAAGTGTGACTTAGATCTTCCATTGCTAGAAATCCAGTCCATTTGTTTTGCTGATAAAACAATATAGTTAGAATCCACTGGCTTTTTTTGCATGTTTTGGACTTTTGTCAGTGAGTGACATAATTAATATCAGAACGTCTGCTTAATAACTTAATGCGTAATGCCAGGTGAAGCGTTTTTAATCAAAATAAGATTAGGTTCTCCACTTCTTAAAGAAACAGTTCAAAGGGTGTCTGTGGGGAAGCCGTACAGCAGTCATTACACTGGAATGTATATAATCCCAGGGTCAGATGTCGAACCGGGTGGATTTTTTTTAAATTAAGAAAAATTTACACAAATATTTTTTTTTTGTTGGTTTTTTAAGAACATTTGTTTTTGAATAAGTAACAGTGTGCGCTCATGTTCAAGACAGGTTACTCATTTAAAAAAAAAAAGGTTTTAGATTAATTATAGCAATTTTGTGTGTTTTCACCATGTAAATATGAAATACACTCACCGGCCACTTTATTAGGTACACCTGTCCAACTGCTCGTTAATGCAAATTTCTAATCTGCCAATTACATGGCAGGAACATTACATAGTCAAGAAGATCTGCTGCAGTTCAAACCAAGTATCAGAATGGAGAAGAAAGGTGATTTAAGTGACTCTGGATGTGGCATGGTTGTTGGTACCAGACGGGCTGGTCTAAGGATTTCAAAAACTGCTGATCTACTGGGATTTTCACGCACAACAATCTCTTGGGTTTACAGAGAATGGTCCAAAAAAAGAGAAAATATCCAGTAAGCGGCAGTTCTATGGGCACAAATGCCTTGTTAATGCCAAAGAAGAAAGGCCAGACTGGTTCCAGCTGACAGAAAGGCAAAAGTAACTCTAATAACCACTTGTTACAACCAAGGTATGCAGAAGAGCATCTACAAATGTACAACACAATAAACCTTGAGCCAGATGGGCTACAGCAGCAGAAGACCACACCGGGTGCCACCCCTGTCAGTTAAGAACAGGAAACTGAGGCTAAAACATACTAAAACATTCTAAAACAAACTAAAAACATTCCCTGGTCTAATGAGTCTTGATTTCAGTTGCAACATTCCGATAATAGAGTCAGAGTTTGGCGTCAACAACATGAAAGAATGGAACCATCTGGCCTTGTATCAATGCTTCAGGCTAGTGGTGGTGATGCAATGGTGTGGAGGATATTTTCTTGCCACGCTTTGGCCTCATTAGTACCAATTGAGCATCGTGTCAACGCCACAGCCAACTTGAGTATTGTTGCTGACGATGTCCATCCCTTTATGACCACAGTGTACCCATCTTCTGATGGCTACTTCCAGCAAGATAACGCACCATGTCATACAGAGCAAACCATCTCAGACTGGTTTCTTGAACTTGACAATGAGTTCACTGTACTCAAATGGCCTCCACAGCCACCTTACCTCTATCCAATAGAGCATCTTTGAGATGTGGTGGAACAGAACATTCGCATCATGGATATGCAGCCGAAAAGTCTGCAGCAACTGTGTGATGCTATCATGTCAATATGGGCCAAAATCTCTGAGGAATATTTCCAGTATCTTGTTGAATCTATGCCACAGAGGATTAAGTCTGTTTTGAAGTAAGTACTAGTAAGGTGTGCCTAATAAAGTGGCCTGTGCGTGTATATGTTGACCAGTAGGATTCCAGGAAGATTACAGGGTTTTTGTTTAATCCTACAGTAATTGTGTACTGTTTATAATATAAATAGACACATTTGGAAAAGCTAAGAGCGAGCATTTTGCACTGTGGATGTACAGCGATGTGGATGTAAAGCATATATTTCAACCTAAAACTAACTTTACAGAGGTGAAATTTGTTGAATTTGATGAAAACACAAGCCAACAAAAACACAACTACTTCATGGCACCTCTCAACTGACTGGAATGAAGAGCCACTAAATGTCACTGTAGGTGTAGGTGCATTTTAGCACTATTCTGAACCTTGAATATATTGAAAATGTTGTTTTTATCTGTCATTTTCTTTTTCAGCTCCCATTTTTATTATCAAGCCTTTCTCTGCAAAACTGTTAAAAAGTATTCATCAAATTGTTTGATTCTCAAACCATCAGGCGTTCAGAGGAAGAAGTGATGGGTGAAGAAACCATTATCATACCTGGAGATCCTGCCAGTGATTCTGCCCTGCTGACCACGAAGGTTCGAGACAAGGAGAGAGGAACTGGAGAGCAAGAGGACGGAAAAAAGAGAGAGAAGACAAAAGGAAATCATGGCGAGGAAAATACAATTTAAGCAGAATTCCTCCAGGAGACAAAACAGCAATCATTAGCATAATGTGATTGATTAGCGGTAGAGGAGTCAGAAGAATGCATGCTTAAAAAAATCCAATAAGAAATCTGAGAGCAAAGAGTGTCCTGCACAATTAGGTAGAAAGACTTATGATGAGTTCACACTGACGGCATGATGCACGAGTTGTGGGACTACAGTCGTTTTCACACTGCATGACTATCATTGGTAGCATTCAGTTGCTGCTGTGCTCACATTGCACAATGGATCAGCAACAGAAGTGAGTGACTTTAATAATAGAAATTATCAGACACAACTCTGTCTGCTCCACAAAGAAATACCACAAGAACATATGCTATTTCTTGCGTAAGACTACAACTGGTAACCATTGCAGGACAGCTCAGACCAAACATCAGAAAATCATCAGTGCTCTTGCCAAAATTCGACCAAACTTTCCTCTATTTCTTGGGTTTAAATGGACCGAGATTCCGAGAAGAAGCCTTTTTCAAATCCAGCACCATGTTTCCTGATATTGGACTATAAATCTTTTCCAAACTCCCTGATGTCCTCATGGTCTCTCATTGGCTACAGGTCATTGCATGAGTTTTCAGTCACAGAAGGATTTTAAAATCACAGACAGATGCAGATATTTATTTAGCATGTGAAATATTTTCAGACATATTGCATGGGAAACGATGCTGACTCTCTCTGATTGCGACTTTAATAATTCATACTGTGTGACTGCTTTTGTCGATAATTTCACAAAACCTTTCGAGTGAAAAATTGAGGCTTAAATCGTACAGTGTGAACTGGGCATTATATAAAAACAAGCAGAGGATGTACACACTTTAGAAATTAAAGAATCTTTCTTTAAAGGGGTTCTATTATTTAAAGGGGACTCTTTAATGACTAAGCAGATCATCCATTTCCTTAAAGTTTTTTTTGAAACAAGTAAATAATTTGATTAAATGCCTGAAATCTGAGAGTGTGTATTGAGCAAGACCTGGTGAGGAGGTTAAAGACAGCACTCCATAATACGAGAAGGCACCAGCTTCAAACTTCATTCCCTCCTTTCCAGCCTCGACCTCCACCTTTCCCTGTGGACCAACAGAAATAGGGTTATTATTGATCCATCATGTAATTTTATGATCAAAGTCTTATTCCAACATGCATTTGTGTTTTCTGTCCACATGTAGTTTAACTGCCTGACTTTACTAAACTGGAACAATTATTAGTGTCCCATAAAAATCTCATAAAAATGTAAAAATGCAGACAGGAGAGGAAATTCCTGTGGGTGTTTCTACTGATAATGTGCAAATTAAGCAACAGAGACTGCAGCTTTTTCTGTAATAACCAGGACACTCTACCAAGAGCAGAACAAATTAAAAATAACATGTCTTGTCAATCAATATTTTTAGACTATATTCCAAAAATATGCCAAAAATTTACGGAAAGTGGAAGCATGTCCTGGTCTTAAGGAGATTCATTGATTTATGAGTTCAAACTTTGGCTGCGTCCTAAATCGCATACTTCCATACTATTTTGTACATAAAAAAAAAAACAGTATGCAAGCCGAGTAGTATGTATGTCCAAATTCATAGTATTTGAAAAACAGTATGTGAGAAGTACCCAGACAACCTACTACAGTACTTCCAGCGAGATTCTGAAGTGTGCATCTGATGGACGCTAGGCTATCCCATGATGTCACATGAGAGAATTCATGACTGGGAGTGAAGCGACGCAAGTAAGTCATAATGATGGCACATGTAGTACAACTGAATTCCATTCATACTGTTCACATTCATAAGCTGCATACTAAATGGGACACTATATACATATGCACTATGTACTTCAGCACTAACACACTCAACAGCATAGTATATGTTAGTAGTGTCATCCCAAATGGAAGCCTTACATTTTTTTACTAGGCGGAAATTTTAACCATTTCCCAGATGATGTTTGACGGTTACCAAATTAGCAAAATAATCGACCAAAGTACCAAATAATACCTGCCATGAGTATAACCGCATTCACCATCAAGAGGCACCATAATCACTCTCGTAGGAGAATTTTGCCTTCACAATCCAAAATAAATAATGTTATCCAACATGAAAGCTCCGCCCCTTCCTCTACATGAACAAAGCAGCGGTCATTCAGCCCGTGAAGTGTCCAAGATTACACAAACATTACACACTTGAGTTTAACGGTTGAATAAGAGCATCATCTGGGTAATTAAAGTGCACTTATTATTTTTAGAATTTCAGTGTTAACACACTAATTATACTACAAAAAAGATTAGAATAGTGCACAAGTATGCGATTCGGGACGCACCTATACTATGTAGAACATACATTTCAACAACATTTTTATGAGGTACAATCAAATATAGTATATACTTGAGTTAGTAGGCAATCTCGGACGCCGCCTAATAAACCACCCTATAGGACAATTTTGTTTTGCACAAAACATACGCTGCATTCTGGGATTGACAGAAATAAATGTTTTCGATTGCAACCAATAATTAAAAACAAAAAAAAGGCACACTTTTAAAATTCATTCTAGGTAGGTAAAGTTTCAAAACTGCACTTTTTTTGATGCGGCTTCGCTGTTTATCTACATGAAAACAGTGTCAGGCTACTGAAACAAAAACTTTCTGAAAACTCTGGCCAGGGTGAAGGTTTTCCAAAACCTTCCAAAAAAAGTGTCATGTGGACACTACAAATGAAGTTGTCACCTCATGACGTCAGCGTGTGCACTGTTATATCTTTTCTGATTGACCAACACAACTGGGATCACACCAAATGTGGAAGTCGTAAATAAGGTCATTTTCTGCACATTTGCGACAAACACATAGCATGTTTACTGCTGATCAACAAGACGGTTATCCGTCTCTGTTCTCATGGTTATATTAGCACTTTTTACAAAGTGATAGCAGTAAATATCTAGAACATTTCCGGAATGACTTTACTGGTAAATTTTAAAAAGCGTTGTTCACACAGACGAGGATGTTATAGATTTTTTTTCAGAAAAGACCATTCACACATCTATCCCCAAATACCGGTAAATTCTGACATCATAAACCAGAAATGAGCTCTAAACGGCTGCGGTTGTATTTGTAAACATTTGACTACATTACAAACTCTGTGGACGGAAAAGTATCGTGAACAACTTTGATGAAAACATATGGAGGAACACTTCCGCATGTCGAGATGTACACATGTGTGTGTTTGTGTGTGTGCATGTGTGTGTGTGTGCTGGCACTCATCGCCTCCTTCACGTGCATGCATCAAGCAACAGCTTAAAGGTAAACAAACAGCGGTTTATAAAAACACCCATGTACGTGTGGACATGGCCTAAGATTTAGAACAAAGCTTTGGCATTCATTTTGTCTGACAGCTTGGAGATTTAAATCCATTGAAGGCCATGACTTTGTGTTCATAGCTTGAGGTCAGCAAATAGTGTGACCTTAACTAATCAGTGGATTAATTTCTGACCTGCAGGATGAGAATGAAGTAATCCACAGGCTTGTTGCGGTGAAAGAGGTAGTGCTCTGACATTTTCTTGTCCTTGTCATCGTATTTGAGCTCCTGGATGACGTTAGGATGTTTCAACAAGCGCAGGAGGATTTTCTCTGACATTTGAGTTGCACTAAAAGACTCAACCTCTGTGGACAGAAGGGAAAAAACAGGAGTGGTTTATGAGTTTGTGATAGTTTTTCTTACGTTAAATGTGGGAACACATGTAGTGAAATGCTGGACATCAGTACCGGTTGCCAGGAAACGCAGCGTGGCCAGAAGAAGCTGCGGTGATATTTTCACCCTCAACTCATTTTCTGTAGGTTTGAAAGCAGAGAAGTCCTGTTTCTTCTCCCGGTGAGCGATCTTCTTTTTCGTCTTGTTGTCAGCTTTCATTGGGAACACAAAAAGTAGATAATTAGATGCTTTTATTAGTAGCAAGGTTTTGGTTTTTGCTAATAAGTCTGCCTGTCTTTGTGAATGGATGACAAAGTCTCAACCAGATGTGATGTTTTTCAGCATCTGCAGTCTCAGTATTGTACAGTATATGAGGACTTATGAACTCGAGAACTGCTCTAACAATAGCCATGTTTCCATCCACCTATTTTTGTGCATTTTGGACATGCGCATAAAAAACGATTGATGGAAACACCAAGATGCGCATAAATTTTGTAAACATATGTGAATAACTTAGTAGGATAAACTTTTTATTCTATAAAAGATGCACAAAACCTATGATGGAAACACTTTTACCGAACAAAGTCCAGTATGCGCATTTAAAAAAGTCATGTAATTTTGTTGTAAGAGATCATGTGATGATAAAAATGTGTGTGAATGGACAAACCAGCAGGCTGAGCACATTGTATGACATCTGAAACACTGTTCTGGTCATTCTAAAACACCTTAAGCATTTCATTATTAGTGTTATTATATTATTAATGACCATCAAAATTGTCAAGAGTCTCTGCGCTCTGCGTCTCATGGCTTTAAACACCTTCTGAAAGAAAGTCATTTATTAAATGAAGAAAAGATTCATGCAGTTTCTCCTACTGCAGCAAAATCTGTTTGACTGTTGATATTTGGCGCCAGTTAATCAGGAAGTGATGATTTTGTTCTTTGACTCGTTGGATAGTAACGTTGCTTTTTTTTGCACATCTTTTATTCGATATTACAGTTTTGCGCATAAATTTAATTCACATTTTTGGATGGAAACATAGCCACTTAAGTAATATTTTTACAGTTTCACTTTAGAACTACCCCCCATTGAATTCTCAGCAAATCTGACAATCTGTCAAAATAAATGATGAGTGTCCTTTTTAGAAAAGATTGAAGACATGTAACAAAAAACAACAATAATACATACATTCAAGAATTTTAAGCTTTTCACCCAAGTTTTAATTGAAACAGTTCTGTTGCACAGCAACTTCATTCATTCATTTTCTTTTCGGCTTAGTCCCTTTTTTAATCAGGGGTTGCCACAGCAGAATGAACCGCCAACTTATCCAGCATATGTTTTACGCAGCGGATGCCCTTCCAGCTGTGCAGCATCTTATTTGACCTAAAATTTTATGAATGAATCAATCAATTATTAAACATCCAATCATACATAATGTTTGTTGCAAATTTAAGGTTTTATTTTCTTGTGTGCAATCATAAAAAACAGAGTGCATTAATAAATTAATTAGGTGAAGTTTACTCATTTTGTACAGAAATTTGACTAAACTAATTATGTTTACATTCACTCATAAAAGAACATTATTGACGTACATGTTTTAATACTGTAATGTTTTAGCCACAGCTCTAACTCAGCTCTATGACATGTAGGAACGTCCATAATAAAAAGGAAAATCTTTAAAAAAAAAAAAAGAAACCTAGTTTAGAGCACATATGCCAAGGTTTTTCATAAATATGGGTATGAATATATACATTTTATTCCATTTTCAATTTAATATGTGTGAAATAAAGTGGTGTAACCAACAAGTAATTTACATTAAATCACATATGACAGTACACATTTGTGTATTTCTAATATGGTTTCAAATATTATCTTAATAATAGTTTTTTTTTTTTTTACATATCATGAATTATTAATTAATAAAAACAATGTTTTAGGGAATCACAACACATCAATTGCTTTGTGTGAAAAAAAGAGATATTTCAAAAGACTTGGAATTTTATTAAAATAAAAGTAAATAATACTTACTGTATAAGTCTGTCTCATCAAGAATCTCAGATTTGATTATTTCCTCAATGACGTCCTCTAACGTGACGATACCCAACACTTCATAGAACGGGTCTCCCTCTCCTTCATTATTCACTCTTTGGACAATGGCCAGATGGGATTTACCTGCCAGGACACAAACCAAGTACAGTCAGGCAATGAGGCTATACAACGTGTATCTCCAGAGTACATCGAACATGGTGGTCTCTGTGAACCCTCAAATGCACTAAAACCCACAGTATCACACTTTTGTTGGTTTATGATTAAAATAAGTCACTAGTGCTTATCAAAATCCATGAGAGCATTATTATTTGACAATTGTGAACATTGCTCTTGGAGATCCATTGCATTTTCTTAGCAAATCTCTCATGGTTCCACATCTGTTTTCCCAGGACCTCCTCGATAAGCTGCTTAGAAAAAAAAATCCTGCCCAGCACTGTCAACCAAAACGTTAAAGAAAATTCTTTTCCTGTTTCTCAGCTAGTGATCATTTAAAAGGAATTTTTCCGGAGCCAGAGCTAATATTAGATCTGAAATGAAGTTTCCACTCCACTTGGGTGATGCTTTCACTGGCGTGACACTGTAGCAATCCATTATGTATGGTGACCGTCTAAAGATTTTCCAGAAATATCAGTTTATACCAACAACAACAAAAAAAAAAAGGAGAAGAAGAAAAAGAAAAAAAAAAGCAAACAAAACACTAGGCAGCAGAGAGACCAGAGTTAATGGCTGATAGATCTAACTTGACTTTATGCTTGGTCAAAGGCATCAGTAAGCACCAATACATGCCTGGGGAACTATAGGCTTGTTTCCATTTAAAGTCTGTGTGACTTTTAAAACAGCAAGAATATTAGATTGTCTTGTAAACAAAATAAGCGCGTTCAACAGCTCTTTTTTGTTGCAGTCTAATCCGAGTTGGGCTTCAGAGGCCGCCCACAACTCTCACCCCTGATCTATCTGATCTTAAGAGAGTTCTAGACAGTCAGTCTTCAACACTTGAACCAAATAAATGATCTTTCATCACTTCAGACCAGTTACAGCCAAACTACAAAACAAGTGGCTCCTATATCCAAAAAATCCTGAGAAGAAGAGCCATTGTTTTCCGTTTCCAAGAAATGCCCACACAGAGTCACAAAGGCTTTAACAGCAAATAATACAACATCTGGCTGTTTAATGTTGATCAACCTTATGTGATATTCCGAAACGTATTCAAATGAAATGATTTTCTTTGATAATTTTATGTTTTTCAGATAACATTTAGATATTAATGAAGCAGAATTTGCTGACTTTTATTTCAGTATGTTGATGTACTTCAAACTGAAACTGAATATATTGAGTAGAGGCGAAGTTTTTTTTTGCACATCATTCCCTCATAGCAAACAAACGGTAAGAGGGGCGTTATGAACAATATTATGGCTGAAGTTGTCAAACTGATGACCCCCACTACAAACACAGAAGAGAAAGGTCAGACTGAAAATTACCAAAACTTTTTTTTTTTCAGTGGATTTATTTGCACTGGTTAATTATTTGCCTAAAGATTTACAATGTGCGCTACCAAAATAAACATTGTAAGTTGTTTATCCACTGTTGAAACACCTGATAAATCAGGGACTAGGCTGAAGGATGGTGAGTGAAATTGTTTTCATATGGACTTTAATGTTGAAAATAGTTGTGCCATTTAAAAATTGAATCAGAACCCTTTGGAAACATTATAAATACTGTCTATTTTGATGATCAGTTTATTGGGGCCTTTATAATTCAAAAGCCTTTCTAATTGGCCATTTTCAGCCAATCATAAACTTCCGGTGAAAGCTTAATATGACCATTTTCAATTTCACAGGGTTCTTTTTACAGCATTGATGTAGTAATGTAATTTCAATACATTCAGTGAAATAGACTTCAGCATTCATTTAGTTGTTAAAGCATAAAAGAGATGAAAGATCATGTCAGGATCAGCAGGCGAGCGCAGAAACTATTGAATATACTTTGGCAAACTATATTTCCCTATTTTAAAGACATGATGGGGAAATGGAATTTAATGCAGTGTTTCTTGTCTGGTCTAAGACCCACTTTATATCATATGTCTATCAGGCAGTGAAGATCACTGATTTTTAGAGAAATCAGAGCTTACACGTACCGTACACATAACATACACACACAAAAAAAAAACCTGAATGTGATTGACTGTCTGAAAGAACATACAGGACTCTCTTGGGGAAAAAAGAATGTCTAAATAATTAATCAACACCTAAATGCCCTTCACAATGCTGAGAGCAGCATTTAGATGAATATTTAAATATGTGCTCAAAATGATATGGATACACTCTAAAAAATGCTGGGTTGTTGTAACCAAAGTCCTTTAAGGCAAGTCATTGTACTCAGCAGCCATCTTTGAAACGCCTCTCTAGCAGTATACTCGGGCGTTCTTACTGATTGGGAAAACATCAAAATCTCCAAAATTTTTGCCAAGCTTAAAACTAAATTTCATATTGGCAATCAGCAATAAGTTCTTAACAACTATCTGTTTAGTTTAATTTCTAAACATTGTAATCACAAAAAAAAAAATCAGCAGAAACTCACGTCTCATTCGAGCTCCTACCCTGGAGAATCATCCATCTATAGCGATAACTGATTGGCTCCTGTACTAGAAGGAGGGCCTTCATTCGCCATGCTGACCATTACACTTTTCCCCATTCAAAACTAAACGAGTGACATGTCTTGTGTATTTTATAGTCTTTGATGTAACCCAACAAGGAGTTTGTCCATGTTTGACCCTATTTTAGGTTACGACAACTCAGCATTTTAGATTTTAGAGTGTTTGTACAAACTCTATAATTTCTCAGCATCATATTGACAGAAATAAAGACGTGATTAAAATGACCCTGTTTTTGTCTTTAAATTAATCCCAATTATTTGCATTTCTGACAAATTTTTGTTCCTTTGATTATCCCGCCAAAAGTCCTTTACAAAAAAAAGCCCAGACATAGACAAGCTAGGAAGTAGGCTAGGGCGGTATCCAATTTTTGATAATGTTAACCCTCCTCCCTATTTTACCTTGGTATAAGATATTATCATGCACAATAAAAAATTATGATGTAGGGCTCAGACAGTCTCACCAAACTGTTCGTTTATGCCTAAACCATCCAGAAACTGAATATGCATTTGACCTAACGTTCGAGGCATTTCTATCTTTTGCGGTCACCTTTTTGTTGCACAATTCGCATATTGCCTCATCCATATTTACTGCCTCTCACTTCTCGTTCAGTTAGAAGCCTGAAATACTGACAAACTCCAGAAGTTGTGTTCTTTTTTTAAGAGCAAGTCACTTGGTGCGTGACACCATGTTTGGCCACCTCTGTCTTTCTCCTTCACGATGATGACAACCACGCATAAGCATTTTTAGGCATTAAATAATTTATATTTAATATTTAATCCTTGTCTCTTAAGTAAGTGCATTGTTTCTTATGACGTATAATGGTATTGAAACTGATACAGCTGCTATATTTAGATCCTGCGGTATACCATATTACCACCCAAGCCTACTAGAAGTTTTTAAAAAACTTCATTACAAACTGTTCAAACATTGGTAACAAACAACAAATAATACATTAAAAGCCAATTTTACAAATTCATGCTGCATTATGTTCTTTAAACTGCAGTGTATACATGTAGTCATGTAGCATCCGATTCTCCCACAGTTCACATGACCTCTGGCGTGTGAGAATAACACACTTCCTTTCTATGCCTGTGACAAGACTGTCCATCATAAAACATTCCAAGCATAAAACACCCCAAGATGGACCGATACAACTTTGTGGACAGAACTTGAAGACTCCAAATGAACACATGGTTTCTAGACAGCACACAAAGACACATTTTGTACATTCCCACCTTATTTATGGAATGAGCTTTTTCCTTCGATATTTTCCATAATGGAATTTCCCTATAAATAGTCGGTGGGACTGTGGGTGGCACGTCTGTGATGCTTCACTGGAACATCTTTCAAATATCACAAGCACTTATCAAGAAAGCTGGCCTTTTTTAAAAATAGATATGAAAGTAAAACGACTGTAGGTTCTCAAGGAATAGTCTTGAGAATATTTCACGCGGGAAAATGGAAATTTCAGTTAATAAATTTACCCCCCCTCGTGCTTCTGCCCCTGTGACAGGCCTATGACTTACAACATCAGAAACTATATAACAGCGCATGCACAGTTACTTCAATCTAATGCTTACCTATTCATATCACAAAACCATGTTGGTATGGTGGTCTTATCATACTTCAGGGGCTATACATGTAAGAATTTCCATGTATCAATGAACTTTTTTATTGCAAATGTGTGGACAGCTTGTAACGAAACCACTTTCTTTGACTAGCTAGATAAATAAAGACATCCTTTTTATGTGAACAACTCTCATTTTTGAAATGGCTTATTCATCTAAACATCATTTTCAGTGGCATAGACAGCATATTTTAGTACAAAAATTAAAAACTGTTGTATTTTATATAATTTTTCCGCTTAAGTTAAAAAGAATTACATTTATTTGTTTATATATTTTGTCCAACTTAATAAATGTTATTTTACCATGTTATTTTACATCTGATTGTTCAATTTCTGTACTTTAATATGGTTAGACTCCCCAGAAAACCTTATTTATAAAAAGGTTATGCTGGGTTGCTTTAAGCCAATGTTGGGTCAAATATGGGCAAACCCAAATTGTTTTATTTTTATTAAATTTAAGAGACAATTTTTAACCCAATAGCCCCATTACTTCTTTATAGTAGACACTTTTTTGGACAACCTAACAAAAGTTTTGTCATCGATTCCCAGTTTTAAGAGCAACAATTAATAACTTGACTTCTAGTTGATCATTTGGAAAAGTGGCAGAAGACTTTTCTAATAAATCATCTGTTAAACTGCATCTCAATCTCCACAAATACTGCAGAGGACCTATTGGAACCCACATTGACGCAAGATTCTCACAGAAATCAGTCAAGTTTGTTGAAAAAAAAAATCATGGTTTGGGGTTACATTCAGTATGGAGGCGTGCGAGAGATCTGCAGAGTGGATGACAACATCAACAGCCTGAGGTATTAAGACATTTGTGCTGCCCATTACATTACA